CTTTCATCATCTGAATTAGTAGAAATGAAGGTCTTTCATCATGTGAATTAGTAGAAATGAAGGTCTTTCATCATCTGAATTAGTAGAAATGAAGGTCTTTCATCATCTGAATTAATTTAAACGTTGTGCGGTCAAGATCGTTGAATCAGTTGCATTAAGTTGTGCATACTTTCTAAAATCAATTCTGAAATGGCTTTAAAAATTTTTTTTTACTTAAGTTATGTCTTGTTTTTAGTATCTTAAATTCAGTGTGAACAAGTAATTCTACGAGTGATGAAACTATAGATGTCAATATGACACTGTGGCATTACAGTTCAGATAAAGCGCAATATGTTCGTTTCTCATCGATTCGCTTTTTTTTATTTTTAATGATCCCGGTAAACTTTTTCAGACCGATTCTCAAAAGCCGATGTGTTGCAAACCCCATATTTTTAATTAATTTTTAAAAATATATCATATTATATATATATATATATATATATATATATATATCATATATAAAATATTTGCGTGTTCCTCCCTTATTTGTAGAACTGGTCATGTGATTCATTGGGAAACGCTTTCATTCATGTTTAAACATGTCAGTTTCCATCAGCTGAATGAAATAATAATTTTAGAACACTTCGCTTCCAGAAACGTTATCTCATATTTAATTGAAAGCCCTAAAAGTACTGAGACATTGTACACCAGGCATTTGGCTTTTTATTTTCTGCACCGGGTAAGAGGTCAATCTTATTGCTTCACTGTTTAAATCAATAGTTAATAATAATAATAAAGATTATTTGAAAAATCACTCTTCATCCCCAAAGGCTCGAAGCGCGGTACATACCACATTGAAGTACAAAATTCAACATTACAGCACTACATACAAGAATACCCATTCTAAGTCTTTCATACCTTGCAACCATAAACACAGGCCAATATACATCTACAAGATAATAGCTAGATAGACAACATCACCCCAGCAGGTGTTTGCGAAATAGAAAAGTCTTCAAATCAGTTTTGAAAGACTCCAGTGTCTGGCTGTTTCTGACAGCGATAGGAAGGGTGTTCCAAATTGTCGGGCCAGCAAATGCGAAAGTGCGCCCCTAGTAAGTCTCAAGGCGATCACGTGGTATCGTGAATGTGCCACTATCAGATGAGCGGAGTTGTCTAGTGGGTACATAAACCGTCAGTAGCACTTTGATATAGGACGGCGCCAGGTCATGCAAGCAGCGGTAACACAGAATTGCAATTTCGTACTCTATGCGAGCGCGGACCGGCAGCCAATGCAACTCTCTAAGAAGTGTTTTAGCATAGTCGAATTTGCGTTTTCGAAGAACAATGCGAGCCGCATTATTCTGTGCTTTTTTAATTTTATCCAGGAGCGTAGCTTTAAGTCCCACTATAAGAGCATTGCAGTAATCCATGCGTAATAAAAAAAAAATCAATATTTACTGAACACTTCAGCGTATGTTTTGATATATATGGAAACTATTTTCTCTTCGTCGAGAGACCCGTTTCCAAGTGACCAACATATCTTGCCTTTCATGACCGCGAACCTGTGGTGAGTGCAGCTACGCATCGTTGATAAACTCAAGACGCGTTCAAGTTGCGAGAGTTTCAGTTCTGTTAATGTTGGCGCGTAGTCAATAATATTAACATTCCAGCCTTGTTTTAAACATTATTTTTTCTTTTTAGTATTTTAAAAAAGATTTGTAAAACCAAAGCGTACATTTTATAGAAAAAAATATTATTTTCTTTCTGTCTGGGTATGTGCAAAATAATCGGACGTCTAATTAATTCCCGTCAACCCATCGAGCTGAAGTTTGGCCCATTGACTCGATGCCGATTGTATCATATTTTCAACCCCACCCGAAACCCCCCAAAAAACCTGTTGTTTTTTTTTCTTCCTGTGTTTCAAGGGAAGGATAAAGGAAAAAATGAGGCCATTGATTTCGAGAGAGAAAAATTCCCGATAACTGCGCTGAAAGAGATTCGTAAAATATGGCCAAGGCCGTCGATGCGTGATATATCCTTTTGGTTTTTTTCTAAAACAGTTTTTGAAATAAATCTGAGGTGTAAAAGTGAGTGGGCCATTAGAATATTAATATAAAATAAAATAATAATAAAGAATTTAAACGCAAATCTTTGTCTTTAAGGGCTGTTTAGTTACTTTTGATATTTCGAATAATTGTGTGCCATCTGTATTACTTATTAACCTCAAGACTACAACTCCAAGGTTTTGCATGTGCAGAAGATTAAATAAACATCAACTTTAAAATAACTATTAGAAATGTGGGAACTATCTTCGAATATTTCGACTAAACTTGTCTCACAATGTTATAATATCCTTTTGGTCTTACTAACGTCACGTGTCTATTCACGCCAAAGAGTAATTACAAAACACGTACACAACGAGCTGGGGCAATGCCAACACGTCGCGCGTGTGAAGTAGGACAAGAGGTGCGTAACTATTTAATCGCGCACTGGACCGCGTGCGCACCAAAAAAAAAAACACAGAAAAGAACACATTCGTTTCCCACCGTGGAGTATACCTTAAGGTTACTCCGCTAAGTATTGATGGTGAAATGGAGCCTCCCCCCCACCCCCCCCCCCCCCCAATCATTATATTGTACATTCCAGTATAAAGGATCAGCGTGTTCTCTAACTTGACCTAATATCATGTCTTCAAAGGCTTTAGCCCAGGGGTCGGGTACCTTTTTGTCTAAGAGAGCCATGGACACCACATATTTGGAAAAGTAATTCTGTGAGAGACATACCTTATGTTTAAAACTAAAAATTCAAGTAAATGTGTGCATTTTGTGTCATTTCAACACTAAAAATGTCTTTTTAGGCCAGCGGAGTTTAGCTCCTTAACCATTTCTGATGCTGAGCTGAAGTAGACTTTAGCTCATTTACCACTTCTGATGGTGAGCTGCAGTAGACTTTAGCTCATTTACCACTTCTGATGCTGAGCTGCAGTAGACTTAAGCTCCTTTACCACTTCTGATGCTGAGCTGCAGTAGACTTTAGCTCATTTACCACTTCTGATCCTGAGCTGCAGTAGACTTAAGCTGCTTTACCACTTCTGATTCTGAGCTGCAGTAGACTTAAGCTCCTTTACCACTTCTGATGCTGAGCTGAAGTAGACTTAAGCTCCTTTACCACTTCTGATGCTGAGCTGCAGAGTAGACTTAAGCTCCTTTACTACTTCTGATGCTGAGCTGCAGTAGACTTAAGCTCCTTTACTACTTCTGATGCTGAGCTGCAGTAGACTTTAGCTCCTTTACTACTTCTGATGCTGAGCTGCAGTAGACTTTAGCTCCTTTACCACTTCTGATGCTGAGCTGTAGTAGACTTTAGCTCCTTTACTACTTCTGATGCTGAGCTGCAGTAGACTTAAGCTCCTTTACCACTTCTGATGCTGAGCTGCAGTAGACTTAAGCTCCTTTACCACTTCTGATGCTGAGCTGCAGTAGACTTTAGCTCATTTGTAGAATGAAGTATTGATATGCAATTAATAAGTAGATCAAAGGAGTCTAAAGAAACAATTTTTTTTTTAATCGAACATTTGTCTGCGAGCCAGATGCAGCCATCAATAGAGCCACATCTGGCTCGCGAGCCAAAGGTTCCCGACCCCTGCTTTAGTTGATGTAGCTAAGCAATAACAACTATATAAAAGATGTTAAAATGCATTTCCTTCCTTGAGCGGGTCGGGTAATATCGACTTGGAAATCTTGTTATAGATAATGTTAAAAGTATTTTTATCGTTTCTTCATTGTCCGTCTCCTTAGCCTTTGTGTCTCTGATTTTGTTATCTCCATCTTACATATTTCTTGCCTATCTGCAACCTAACCTCATGGCACTGAACTTTCCACATTTATACCTACCTCCACCACAGCCTCAGAGAATTGCCTTTACCAGATCGACTACCATCTACATCTTAGTCTGACATTGTCCACTCTAGACGTCTTACCATCTACATCTTAGTCTGACATTTTCCACTCTAGACGTCTTTCCATGTACATCTTAACCTGACATTATCCACTCTAGGTGTATTTCTATCTACTTATTGGTCTGACATTATGAATTTAAGATGTTTTTTCCATCTACATCTGCCATCAGTGTTCTGAAAGATTTTCTTTCTACTCATATTTCCAACTACACACGGGACTCTCTCGATCGTCTAATTCAGGTTTCATCATGCTGACCTGTTCGGTCGCATCTGAGTCGGTGGCAGAAAGTTGTATTTTCAAAAGTTAAAAGAAAATATTTAAGCTTCTTCTTCATTTAATTGTAATCCTTTGGCTTCATTGAGTGCCTTGCTGTCTTTCTTCGCATACTATCTTTGCATATTGACATTAACGACATAAGTGTTAGTGCATCTGGCTGGGTACAGGACAGATATCTATTGTTGTTAAGGTAACTTATAGGAAGGACGGAAATCGCTGTTATTTTAGGAGTTAAGCGCGAGGTTAAGGGTGAGGCTAAGGGTGAGGTTAAGGGTGAGGTTAAGGGTGAGGTTAAGGGTTAGGTTAAGGGTGAGGTTAAGGTAAATAGATGCTCACATCATGAGATAGAGGGGATGGTTTTTCTCGATACTATTATGTTTCGGACTTTCTAGACATCGCATGGTAATGTTGGGGTTAACGGCGGGAAATTCTAATTGACCGGAAATTATGGGACATGGATGTGTTAATAGGGAGCATTCTTGGGGAGGTAGAGAATGGTATATAAGACATACGTCTTCATGACATAAGGGAGAGTAGAGAGAAATGAGCTGAGAGATAGAGGGATAATATCAGTTGAAAGGGAACAGTCGAGAGCAATCAGTAGACAATATTTGACTAGTTGAATGTAAGAATAGTGGAGACGAAACAGTTGAACAGCCTAGAAGCAGCCTTGCTATAGACATTCATACAGATAGTGGACAATTGATGATAGCAACAGAAAATCTTTATATTAGCGATAAACATATTATCGCATCATCTGGACACCTGGAGTTTCAGTTGTTTAGTGTTCATTCAAGTCTACGTTGTGCCTTTGTCTGTCCAGACGCCTAGATGCTCAACATCTAAATCACAGAGAGGAGCAGTCCTGTACTGACCGCTACTACATCAATACAGTTGGTGATAAGTCAGGACCGAAGCCCTCCTCCGTAGCAACCTTTCTGTGGCAGTGCGTCTAAACTCGTCTTCGAAAGAAACCCATTTTTTTTGTTCGTTTTTTGCCTCTGTTCATTATGTGTCTTCTCCTTTTAAATCCATTCTACATAAAGATATGTTCAAGCCGGCCTCTAATAATTTCTCCTTTCAAAATAAAGTCATTGCAAGCTTCAGTGAAAGTATTCTTATCTCACACTGCCTTGTTCTTCTGTCACCAGTGTTATCACGGACTAAACTCTACTTGCACCATGAACTCTTTTGCCACAGCTCTGTGTTTCTTCTGTGTGGCGTACACTGCGGCCCAAACACTGCCGCCGAGATGTAAGTAGTCGCGCAATATAGTTTGAGTGCAGATAAGGACATACGAAAAAAAAAAACACAACCTTTATTTAACCCCACACATCCCATTCTCCCACAACAATTTTCCTCATTGGCTCCATTTGAAAAAAAAATACAATAAATGCAATTTAAATGATACATATTGACTTAATAGAACTTAATACGATCTAATTTGTTTTGTTTACTACGTTTAAGCTAAAACAAAATCTCATTTTTTTTTCTTCCTTTGAAAATTCTCTTGCAATGGAGAAAAAAATATATATATTAAAAAACGGTCTCCATTAAAATTATTATCCTTAAATCGTTTGAGAGTCTTTCAAAATGGGACATATAAACTAAAAGAAGCATTTTGTTGTCTTCTAAAACGTCATTGCATATTTATTTCGAGACTAAATAAGCCCATTGTAACATGCAGATAATGATGTCCTGGCGGCGTTGGCCTCCACCCGTCAGTTCACAGTATTTTCGGATCTGCTGACCAAATCAGGACTGCTTCCAATAGTCAACAGCTGTATGTAATTGTAATGTTGCTAATGTAATTTTAATTGTGCCTATGTAATTGTAATATTTCGTGTGTAATTTTGATGTTGCATATACATTTGTTACCACAAAATTTCATATGTAGGTCTATCGGTTTATTTCTGATCACTGTTCACTGGTAAAGTCCAATTGGGTTTGGCCTTCGAGATTGAGGTTATTGGGGCATTAGGGCAAGTTTAATATTTGTGGTATTTAGGCAAGGGAATTATTTTGTGCAAATTTGGCAAATAAAATATTGGTGGATATTTGTCAAGGGAAATATTTGGGACACTTGGGCAAGAGAATTATTTTGAGCATTTGAGGCAAACTAAATAGCATCAAATAATAATTGTGTATTAATCTAATAAGAATATTATTCTTATGACAATTGTTTTACAAAAAGCACCATCTTCCCCATCAACCCCGTGTTAGTTGTGATGCCACCGCTGTCATCCATCTGCCATCGCTCCTCATTTCATTGATAACTATTTTGTCAACTTTCACCGTTTCCTCCTAACAATCAACGGGGTCTCCTCCTCGAACCTCAGCCCTCCATTTCACCGTGTTCGCCCCCACCGACAACGCCTTCGCCAGACTGCCCGCGGCCGACTTTGAGGCCATCAAGAATGACCCGGCCAAGCTGGCGGACGTCATCGGCACCCACCTGGTGCTGACGTCGAATGTCCACGTGGGGAACGTCCAGCAGGACGTCAGACTCAGTTCGTACAACCACCACCAGATCCGACTCAACACGTACAACATCGTGCACGTGAGTCTGGGTTGGCCGGGTTGACTCAACACGTACAACATCGTGCACGTGAGTCTTGGTTGGACGGGTCCTCAAAGGTTAACATAAACGACCCGGGGGGGGGGGGAGGGGGGGCGGGGAATCGAAGTCTTGGAGAGTTGGGTACTCAACAGTTATCAGTGGTGACAGGTGAAAATGAGTTTTGGCTAGTTGGGTAGTCAAAGGTTAACACTGATGACGGGGGAAAGTGAGTTTTGGCTAGTTGGGTACTCAAAGTTTAACAGTGGTGACCCGGGGGGGGGTGGAGGAAACATGAGTTTTGGCTAGTTGGGTGCTCAAAGGTTAACACGGGTGACGGGGGGTGTCCAGGCTACAGCACAGTGCGTTGTGAGAAAGAGCACAAACGTTTCATTAAAAGACCAATGAATGATTTTACTGAAGTTATCGATAGAGGAGAAATTAAACAGTGGTTAAATGGGAAGGAGTGGGGGGGGGGGGGTTGACACAATTTTGTTACGACATGTGTCCGCCCCTTTATAATTGAGTACGAACATTGTTGATATTTTGATCTTCGTAATTTGTCTTTGTAACTATGGATGTACAAAAAACAAACTATTTTAATGTTATTTATAATTGGAGCGAAAATTCATAAATAATTTTTAAAATAGTCAGAGCTGCACCTCTGCCAAACTTGATAAGATTGTGACACAAGGAGTGTTCATCCGCCTTTGGTATATAGTACAACTGCGCACCGCCTTTGGCATATAGTACAACTGCGCACCCCTTTTGGTATATAGTACAACTGCGCACCCCTTTTGGTATATAGTACAACTGCGCACCGCCTTTGGTATATAGTACAACTGCGCACCGCTTGGTCTATAGTACAACTGCGTACTGCCTTGCAGCCGCGTTATATCAATTATATACTGACGCTGCCAATGACAGTGTTAAGTTTCCCTATACAGGCGGTACTGCTTAAGAATTTAACTTTGCCGTCCAAAGAGCATGCATCCCCAATGTTCAGTTTTGTATGCGTGCTTCGCTCGTCATCTTAGTCCACATAAACCCATCTATGCCACACTTTCTTTGACACACACATTCCTTTATTTCATCACAAATAAAAAAACAATTTTCACACCCCCACCCCCCTTTCCTTCAGACCGTGACCGCTGACGGTGTGAACATCACCATCAGAAACATCCCGGTCCTCCATGGAACAGTCCACGGACTCGATGGCATCCTCGTGCCACCCACCACCAGCACGGCCCAGATAAGTTTCAACCGGGCGGACTTGAGCAACTTCACGTCTCTGCTGGTCAGTGCAAACCTGCTCAACTTTTACACAGGTACGTCGTGCCGGATCAGCGCTTCTCAAACTGTGATGCATTTTGTTATTGCGGATAATACAGGAAGATTTAACAATAACACGTAAAAAAATGTTTTGTGGAATTAAATTTTTTTATATTTTTTTTCACTTCGCTTTCTTTAAGAGCAAGAATAATAATATATTTTTTAGAATTCATATTGTGTAAACCATTTGAACGATGACATCATCGCTAATCATTCGTTTAAAGAATGAAGAATGTTTATTCTATTATTTCTATTATTAAATATAGGAACCTAGAATAAACACAGATCTCTTTATCACGTGGCTATTTTGGGCCCAAACATTCTAATTAAAGATATTTTCAGACACGTCCACAGAACAATTGCGTTGACAGTGGTGTCCCCCAAGTGCATTGTATCCAATCATAATGGTATTGTTGTCTTTATTCTCTTGTATGTTTTCATCATCTGACGTCATTCCCTTGATATTTCCCCAGCTGACCAAGACGTCACGCTATTTCTGCCTAACAACGATGCCTTCAAGAGCTTGTCGCCCGGCGTCCTAGCTTATTTACAAAGCCACCCTGCAGACCTAGCAGGTGAGATGGGCAAGGGAGTGGATGGGGGGGGGGGTCACATTTCTGTGTCATGGTGTCAAGCATACTTGTTATTGCTTGTCATGTCGTTTGCTAGTCGTTATTGCCCGGTCATCTGGCGATTGTCACGGTCTTATCAATATTTTGTCAACTAACTGTCATCCTCTAGTCTTTTGATGTTTACCTTTCATTATTTTTAGTGTTATCTAAAATATTTTACGGTTGCATATTTGTTAACACGCGTGTAATTATCTGTCACTGGTTTGCAACTTTCGTTAATTTATTTTCATTAAACATGTTCTTTTTAAAGAAACAATCAAATACCACATTGTCAGAACTGCGACCATCTTCAGCCTCGGTTTGAAGCATAGTATCACCTTGACCTCGGCTGACAATAACCGCGACCAGCTGATGGTTCTGGAAGATGATGGTGAGTCTTATATTAACCATTGACTGTTTCTGTGTCGTAAAGAAATTCACGCACCAGTTGGAAACAGTTATTTGAAATAGGATGTCAATGATGTCGATGATGTCAATGATGTCAATGATGTCAATACACTTGGATAATTAACTATCCCAACAAACAATTTTTTTTAAAAATCCTTAAGATACAACATTAAGCTGCTATCACACGCAAGTTATTAAAGATGTATTTACAACTTTTTATATAGATATTTTAGAATTTAGAAATGATGATTTGCTATGTCATTAATGAAAGACTTATCGAACACTTAAATCATTAGTGTTAACTGATGATTAACTGTTGATTACCTCTACAAATATCTGTTATCTATCTTATTTTCGTCTCCGTCGTCATCTGACTGATTCACCCATGAATCAGGTCATTTAATTTATTAAAACTAAAAACTGAAAACGGGAAGAGGAAAAAAAAACTTGAATGTGAAATAGGCTTAATGTGTCCGCTCTATCCTTCCCAGCCGGTGGTGTTTCCATCAACACGGCCAAGATTGTACAGAAAGACATCATCGCCACTGACGGAGTCATTCACATCATCAACAAGGTGCTGCTTCCTCCCCGTGTGCTGGTCCACATTGCTGACAGCGGAATCGTCGTCGGTTGAACCATCGGAACAGATCAAAGCTCAACTCTGAAGAAAATGTCAATCATCGAATTGTCCGATCAGACGATGAAATTGTCCGATTAGACAATGAAATTGTCCGATTAAAAAAATAACGCAAATAAAAACATTATTTATCAACGGTGTTGACTTCGTGCATTTCATTCCTTTCATTTTTGTTTTGTATATGACCGAACCTGGGACAGTGATCAAAGACCTTACTCCTGTCCAGCGGTCGTTTCTGTGTGAACTGTCAGCAAGTCAGCTGGTTTGTCTTCCGTCGGTGCTTGTCTATTGTTGTGACCCCACTGCTTTATATATCTCAAATAATAAAATAATAATAATAAAGCAGCTTATTTGAAAATCCCGCTTCATCCCCAGATTCTCGAAGCGCGGTACAAAGTCAACCATGTTAAAAGAGAAATGAAAAAAAAATTATATATTATACCACATTGCTATGCTATAACTAGAAATATTTTGGTAAAAGTATGGTAAAATTTATGTTGCATCAGTTACAATTTGACAACATAACATTTAGTATATAAATAAATATAGTAAATTTGTTAATGGTATATAAAAATTCGAATTTATTGATCTATGTTAGTTTTGACATATATTGACTAGTTTTAAAATCTGGACAATTATCGCCTGCCCAGGCGTAAAATTAACGACATTTAAGACACCTGAGTATAGACCTGGCATGATTTGTTTTACCGGTGCAGTGTGACCAGTCCAACAGTAACCCTCATAAATTGTATCTGTAACCACTGATCGTAACCTCGGTCTGAAATTATACTTCACTCGTTGGGAAAATATTATCGAGGAAATTATTTCAAAATACACCTTGCTAAATATAGGGGTCCAAAAAGATAACTCATCTTAGCACCGCGAGAAGTTGGAACCCTTGGTAATGACGAGGGGGGGGGGAGGGGGGGGGCAGGGGGGTCGTTAATGGAATAGATATGCAGCCAACTCCCACTTGCGAATATTATATTTTTTCATCCTTTAAACCCAATAAGGAATTGCAAGTAATTGCTTGGGGATGTGAGGGCTGGTGTGTAGGGGTGTGATAGCTGGTGTGTGGGGGTGTGAGGGCTGGTGTGGGGGGGGGCAGGGGGGTCGTTAATGGAATAGATATGCAGCCAACTCCCACTTGCGAATATTATATTTTTTCAGCCTTGAAACCCAATAAGGAATTGCAAGTAATTGCTGAGAAAGGTGGGAAAGTTCGTTATACCAGCTGTTTATGTGATCTAACTTCATAGAGACAAGATTTCGAACATGGGAGATAATCTGTGTAACATATCAAAAGTTTGGATGAGTTGACTTTCACGACAATGAAACTTTGCTCATTGTTAATAAACCTTAGCTTATTGGTAATGAACCTTAGCTTATTGTTAATGGACCTTAGCTTATTGGTAATGAACCTTTGCTTATTGGTAATGAACCTTTGCTTATTGTTAATGAACCTTAGCTTATTGGTAATGAACCTTAGCTTATTGGTAATGAACCTTAGCTTATTGTTAATGGACCTTAGCTTATTGGTAATGAACCTTTGCTTATTGGTAATGAAACTTAGCTTATTGGTAATGAAACTTTGCTAATTGTTAATGAACCTTTGCTTATTGGTAATTAACCTTTGTTATTGGTAATGCATTCTTTTATAGCATATACAAGTTTTTTTTATCCACTGTTGTAAATAGCCAGAGAACGAAAAACCTAAATGGGCGGGAGCAGGGTGTTTGGGGGCGCACAATGCCTCCCTTGGTGCTGACTCCCAAGACATCACACGAGACATATATTGTACTTGTACATCAGAAGTGTTAATTAGATTAAACGAAATGAATCTGCAGTCCCATGGGAACGATTTCAATCTTTCTATAAAAACTTAATTAGTCCCCGTTATTTGGTATCCAAATCAATTCTATGCAAGCATATTCCAGGGAACCCTCCCGATTTTATTTATTTCCAAGTCCTTTTGACCTAAAAGGGAAAAAAAAATTCGATGAATAAGATGGTGGTGTGAGATGGTAGCATAAGATGCGGCACACGATCGTAGTATTATGCGACCAATTTGATATACGCTAGGCAAAATGGTCCGAGCGATTTTTGGAATTTCTGTTGATGAGTTGTAGAAATTGTTGTGCTAAATCCATTTGCATGATTGATTCCGTTGGTGAAGTAAATGAGATGTTTGGTGCAGCTTGCGAAGTAAAGAGAAGCTTATTCGGCACACACAAAAATATTGAGTTTCAGCCATTGCTTAAGAAATTATGGTATCGCGAGTTTTCCTCTTAGATGAATAGTTTCTATCATGCTCAACACTTTGAAAGGGGTTAGAAAGGCTTCTTGTAGCATACTCAACATTCTATTTGGTGGAATGTTGTGTCGAATATTGTCGTAAAGAGTAACGCATAGAAACCGAATATGAAAATGAAGATTGTCTAAGAGGTTTCTACTAAACAAAATTTAATTACTTTACCAAACCCATCTTATAGATCAAGACTAGTTGACCAGTAAAGTTGACGAGTAACGTTGACCAGTAAAGTTGACTAGTAAAGTTGAGCAGTAAAGTTGATCACTAAAGTTGAACAGTAAAGTTGACCAGTAAAGTTGACTAGTAAAGTTGAGCAGTAAAGTTGATCACTAAAGTTGAACAGTAAAGTTGACCAGTAAAGTTGACTAGTAAAGTTGAGCAGTAAGGTTGATCACTAAAGTTGAACAGTAAAGTTGACCACTAAATAAGTGACAGATGTAAAAAGCTCATGTACCTTCAAAATTGTACAAGATTTTTGGGAAAAGACGGGGGTGCTCGGAGGGTGAATTGATAGCCCCGATTGGGCGATGCCAGGAAAAGTTTGAGAGGCACTGGTTTTAATCAAGAAAGAAATCCATTTTTATAGTATTTGAGTTAGTAGAAATGTTTAGCACTTGATATAAATGAATGAGTTGTTTCGACGGCTGTCTACTCGCTATAAGCAATATCAGAGAGTGTATTTTTGTATTCTTTCATAGTTTTATCATAGTTCTATCATTGCTCTTTCATGGTTCTATCATAGTTTTTTCATGTTTTTATCATAGTTCTATCATAGTTCTATCATACTACTATCATATTTATATCATAGTTCTATCGTATTTCTATCATTATTCTAGCATAGCTCTTTCATAGTTCTATCATAGTTCCACTATAGTCTTATCACAGCTCTTTCATAGTTCTGTCATAGTCCTATCATAGTTCCAAGTCTTTGTGAAAGAGAAATAGAGAGCTAAAAAATAGGTCAGTGACCAACTTCTCGAAGATTTCACTTGAAAGGTGTAACACAATGTGACAGCTTCTCAATCTCTCCTTTTAAATGGATTCTAAGCTTCAATCTTTACTCATGGATTCTCAATCTTTAAATAATGGTTCATTTATTTTTTTTACAATTATTTAAAATAAATGATTAACTGTCATGTTATTCATAAAATAAACACAGTTACGTTGTTTACGTGACTGCTCATTTTACGGAAGAAGAAAAGGCTTTGTTTTTAGGCCCTAAATTCCTACACACACAATGTTCAGGAAAATAAACCATTTTTAGAAATATTCGTTTCGAGACCTTTATCATTTTTTTTTTTTTAAATCCGAAAAGATAGTAACATAAATCAGCCATTTGGGGGTTTTTTTTACAACAGGAAAGGAGTAAGTCTCATTGATGTCCTGTGTACTTTAGAATTGATGTTCGGTATACCTTATAATTGATGTCCTATCTAATTAATTCATTAATGGAATGGAATATAATCACTCTAGATTTTTACAATTTTAGTTAATATTATGTAATATACTACTTTTATGTTATTTCATTACGTGTAAAAATTATGTTAAATTACGCAGAAATTCATTCATATATGTTTAGAAATTGTTTAGAAATTGTTTAGAAATTGTTTAGAAATTGTTTAGAAATTGTTTAGAAATTGTTTAGAAATTGTTTAGAAATTGTTTAGAAATTGTTTAGAAATTGTTTATAAATTGTTTATAAATTGTTTAGAAATTGTTTAGAAATTGTTTAGAAATTGTTTAGAAATTGTTTATAAATTGTTTATAAATTGTTTATAAATTGTTTATAATTTTTATAAAGTTTTTTTTTTCTCACGCTATTATTTTTATTTTTTTAATCAGCAGTGAACAAAATTGCATATTTCGGAGAATAGTCCCACTTAGCATTCATCTAAAATTTGCGATGTTCTAATTAATTTAGAGTTTATACCACGATATTAGAGTTTTCAGGACACATCGCCAGGAAACTTTTATTGTTAAGAGTCTGCTGAGAGGTTGTTGTCTTTTTCTTTACTCTTATAATGTGTCTCCTAAACTTGCCTTCCCTCCCCCCCCCCATGGTCACTCTTTACCATTCAAAACATCTGCTTTTCAAAATCTTTGAAAAAATGTCTTTTAAAAAAAAAATTCGAAAGCCAAAAATGAATTTCGTATTTTGTTCATGTTCATCATTTTTTTTTTTTTTTCAAAACTATTTTGCTCAGCGCCGCCTTTGACACTGCAGAGATGAAGTCTGTGCTTATCACGCTCTGTCTGTTCATAGTAGCGTACAGCGCTGCTCAGACACAGACCCCCAGACGTGAGTGTCATTCTAATTGTGTCTCGGGGTAGAAAATCTGATATTGAAACCTAACTATTTTCTCCAATTCTCTTAACACAGCTATTCTCTTAAACACCACCTTGCCCCATCTTTTCATCCTACAATGTGTCAGCTTATGCTCATCATACTCACGTTATCTCACCCCCCACCACATCCCACCATCCCCCCCGACATTCCGCCCAACACTTAACACCTTTTAATTTCAAACGTTTCATTAAACACTTAAAGTGTCAACTGCTGGCTACTTGAAAACAAATTATTTTTACCGGACTCCGCTTTGGGGCTTAAGGTTTGGGGGTTAAAGTAGACTCAGGGTTTTGGGGGGTAAAGTAAACTCAGGGTTTTGGGGGTTAAAGTAGACTCAGGGTTTTGGGGGTTAAAGTAGACTCGGGGTTTTGGGGGTTAAAGTAGACTCAGGGTTTTGGGGGTTAAAGTAGACTCAGGGGTATGGGGGTTAAGTTTTGGGGGGTTTAAATAGACTCAGGGTTTTGGGGGTTAAAGTAGACTCAGGGTTTCGGGGGGTTTAAGTAGACTCAGGCTTTTGGGGGTTAAAGTTAGACTCCGGCTTTGGGGGTTAAAGTAGACTCAGGCTTTTGGGGGTTAAAGTTAGACTCCGGCTTTGGGGGTTAAAGTTAGACTCCGGGTTTAGGGTTAAAGTTAGACTAGCAACAATTAAAACTATTTTTTTGGTTTGAAGTTTCGATGATTGATTTATAAAAGTATAATAGTTAAAATAATGAATGCTCTTTGTCGTCACTCTGCAGCTGGCGATATCATCACCGCCCTCAACACAGCTGGACAATTCAAAGTCTTTGCTGACCTCCTGACCAAGTCGGGTCTGCTGCCCATAGTCAACAACTGTATGTTGTAGTTTGCTATTTTATATTAGTTGTCTCAATATGGTCTAAGTTTGCTCTTGCGATATATTCAGAGGCGGATATCTTGTCATCCAAAGTGTGGTTGGATGGTGTAGGTTAGTTCTCACATTCTCAATTAGACATTGGAAATATTGAAACTTTTCGAACACAAAGTATTAAATTTGCTTGTGTAAATGTAACTGTAATCCACACCGCAGCCATTTCTTTCTTTTTTTTTTTTTTTCTTTTTTTTTTTTTTCATTTGGAGCCCCTTCTGGTTTTTTATTGTTTTTTTAGATTTTTAAAAATTACCCCTAGGTTTGTAAATAATTCACGGCCCATTTAACCTCTAATCAGCCCAAAATTTCACCGTGTTTGTCCCTAAACCAGTGGTTATCAACCTTCCTAGTGCCGCGACCCTTTAATACAGGTTCTCTTGTCGTGGCGACCCCCAGCCACACAATTGTCTTCGTTGCTTCTTCATAGCTGTAAGGTTATATTTTCAGATGGAAAAGGGTCGCGCGACCCCCAAAGGGGTCGCGACCCACAGGTTGAGAGCCCCTTCCCTAAACCATTGTATGTAACTCATTAATGGCCCATGTACCTCTAATCAGCCCAACACTTCACCGTGTTTGCCCCCACCGACGCCGCCTTCGCTAGACTCCCGGCGGGCGCACTAGCGGCCATCAGAAACGACCCGGTTAAACTGGCGGACCTCATCAGCACCCACCTGGTGCTGACGTCGACGTACCGCGTGACCAACACCCAGCAGGACTTCATACTCCGGTCGGAGAACGACCACCGCATTCGCATCAACACATACAACATCCTACACGTGAGTCCCGTGGTTCATTCATATGTGTTTCGTGGTTCATTCATATGTGTCCCGTTGTTCATTCATGTGTGTCCCGTGGTTCATTCATATGTGTCCCGTGGTTCATTCATATGTGTCCCGTGGTTCATTCATATGTGTCCCGTGGTTCATTCATATGTATCCCGTGGTTCATTCATATGTGTCCCGTGGTTCATTCATATGTGTCCCGTGGTTCATTCATATGTGTCCCGTGGTTCATTCATATGTATCCCGTGGTTCATTCATATGTATCCCGTGGTTCATTCATATGTATCCCGTGGTTCATTCATATGTATCCCGTGGTTCATTCATATGTATCCCGTGGTTCATTCATATGTATCCCGTGGTTCATTCATATGTATCCCGTGGTTCATTCATATGTATCCCGTGGTTCATTCATATGTATCCCGTGGTTCATTCATATGTATCCCGTGGTTCATTCATATGTGTCCCGTGGTTCATTCATATGTGTCCCGTGGTTCATTCATATGTGTCGCGTGGTTCATTCATATGTGTCCCATGGTTCATTCACCTCTGAATTGTAAAGAAACTGCGTAATGCTAAGTTTAAGAGTAGAGAGCTTTAAATGGTTTCAAAGTCCGTTCATACTGGCGATGGTACAGTGTTTCTTTCAGGAAACACCCCCGTATATATGAGAACACCCCTCCCCCCAAATGTAACGATCATAAATTTCATTTAAAAGGCAGAAAATTGTCATATTTACATTTTCAAATATTCACATATTCAAATATTCACACATTCACATATTTATTTTACACATTCACGTATTCAAATATTCACATATTCAAACATTCATATCTTAATATATTCACATATGTAAATATTCACATATTAAAATTTTTACATATTCAAATATTCACATGTTCACATATTGTAATATTCACATATTAAAAAATTCATATATTCAATATTCAAAGATTCATACATTAACATATTCACATATTCAAATATTCATATATTTAAATATTCGCATATTGTAATATTCAAATCTTCAAATATTCACATATTCAAATATTCAAAGAATAACATATTAACATATTTACATACTCGAATATATAAATATTCAAAAATTCACTTTTCAAATAGTTACATCTTCAAATATTCACATAGTCACATCCTTTGGCACATTCCCACACAATCAATCAACAGTTCCTGTTCTTGTTGCAAGCTTAAAGGCACCATTAATTTATTATTTGAATTTGCCAATTTGGCAAGTCACTTAACATAGTTAACCCACACCTCCCCCCCCCCCTCTTTCCCACAAGTTTCAAATCAATCCCATGATCCTTTCTCCCCACCCATCCCACCCCCAGACCGTTACTTTGGCACATTCCCACACAATCAATCAACAGTTCCTTTTCTTGTTGCAAGCTTAAAGGCACCATTAATTTATTATTTGAATTTGCCAATTTGGCAAGTCACTTAACATAGTTAACCCACCCCTCCCCCCCCCCCTCTTTCCCACAAGTTTCAAATCAATCCCATGATCCTTTCTCCCCACCCATCCCACCCCCAGACCGTTACGGCCGACGGCGTCAACATCACCACCAGAAACATCCCTGTCAGCCACGGCGCCGTCCACGGCATCGACGGTGTCCTCGTGGTGCCGACCGCCAGCGTCGCTCAGATCGCCTTCAGCAGAGCAGACTTGACCCAGTTCGCGTCACTTCTTGTTCAGGCAAACCTTGTCAATTTTATCACAGGTATGTCAAGTCAGATTCACAGGTATGTCAAGTCAGATTCACAGGTATGTCAAGTCAGATTCACAGGTACGTCAAGTCAGATTCACAGGTACGTCAAGTCAGATTCACAGGTATGTCAAGTCAGATTCACAGGTACGTCAAGTCAGATTCACAGGTACGTCAAGTCAGATTCACAGGTATGTCAAGTCAGATTCACAGGTATGTCAAGTCAGATTCACAGGTATGTCAAGTCAGATTCACAGGTATGTCAAGTCAGATTCACAGGTATGTCAAGTCAGATTCACAGGTATGTCAAGTCAGATGATGCAAACATTATTTCCTTACTTTTTTTTTTTTTTTGGTTGGGGAATGACAGTGGTTCTTAACCTGGGTTCGATCGAACCCCAGGGGTTCGGTGAGTCAGTCTCAGGGGTTCGGCGGAGGCCCAAAAAAAAAAAAAAATTAGAAAAAAGCATATTTTAGTTTCCTTATTAAGAAGGGTTCGGTGAATGTGCATATGAAACTGGTGGGGTTGAGTACCTCCAAAAAGGTTAAGAACCACTGGGGTAAGACCAGGTGTGGCGAAAAATGTATACTCTCTTTATTAAACATCTCCATTTTTTTAAAAAGAAAAATCAAGAGACTCATCGTAATTACATTTATATGTCCAGCTAGTAAAAAAAAAAATGAGATTTGCATTAATGTTAGTGTCGATCAACAGAGGATCCGCCTAAGACAAGAAGATTAAAAAGTGGCGTTAGACTAAGCTGTTTACTAAAGTTCACGTTTTTTAAAAAAAAAACACGATCTTGGGAAATATGGACTAAAGGATGCCTCAAAAGCGAACGTAACATACAAAAGAAGAAAAACCAGTAGCACTTTATTTCATGTGTAACGAACTTGAAATTAACATGAAATATAACATAAACTACAGAAAATACATAAGAAATGCATAAATCAGACTTGGTGAAATAAGTAAGAAATGCATAAATTAGACTAGATGTTATACATTACAAATCAATAAACTAAACTAGAGAAAATGCATGACAATTGCATAAATTAGACAAGATATAATGTATAAGAAATTCATAAATTAGACTGGACAGAATAAATAAATTATGCACAAATTAGATTACATGAAGTGCATAAGAAATGTATAAATTAGACTAAAAAAGTGCATGATAAATACATGTGTATAAATAGGGAAATGGATCAGATATGCTTATATTATACTTCGGGAAGTGTTTTAGAAATGTTTAAATCAGACTTGAGAAAATGGTTAAATAAGGCTAAATAAAATTCATACGGTTTGCATAAATTATACTACCGATAGCATATATTTATGACACACATGCGAAATACGTCTGCCTGAGATTGACAGACGATTTTAAAGCCATGATGTTTAATCCAAGTACAAATGAACAAGATGATTTATTGTATTTTTATTTTTGGTGTATTTAGTTTCCTTCCCATCTCCCAGCTGACCAAAACGTCACACTTTTCCTGCCTAACACTTTTCCTGCCTAACACTTTTCCTGCCTAACACTTTTCCTGCCTAACACTTTTCCTGCCTAACACTTTTCCTGACTAACATTTTCCCATCTCCCAGCTGACCAAAACGTCACACTTTTCCTGCCTAACACTTTTCCTGACTAACATTTTCCCATCTCCCAGCTGACCAAAACGTCACACTTTTCCTGCCTAACATTTTCCCATCTCCCAGCTGACCAAAACGTCACACTTTTCCTGCCTAACATTTTCCCATCTCCCAGCTGACCAAAACGTCACACTTTTCTTGCCTAACATTTTCCCATCTCCCAGCTGACCAAAACGTCACACTTTTCTTGCCTAACACTTTCCCATCTCCCAGCTGACCAAAACGTCACACTTTTCTTGCCTAACATTTTCCCATCTCCCAGCTGACCAAAACGTCACACTTTTCCTGCCTAACACTTTCCCATCTCCCAGCTGACCAAAACGTCACACTTTTCCTGCTTAACACTTTCCCATCTCCCAGCTGACCAAAACGTCACACTTTTCCTGCCTAACACTTTCCCATCTCCCAGCTGACCAAAACGTCACACTTTTCCTGCCTAACACTTTTCCTGCCTAACACTTTCCCCTCTCCCAGCTGACCAAAACGTCACACTTTTCCTGCCTAACAACGATGCCTTCAAGAGCGTCTCGCCCAGCGTCCTGGCGTTCTTTGAAAGCCACCCTGCAGATTTATCAGGTATAGTCATCAACATCCTTCTGAGCCACTGTCACCAAGCAATTTTCATCATGTTATCGCCAATAATTTGTCATTATTTTGTAACTAATTACGTATCTTCATATCACCAATTACTTATTATCTTGTCACCCATGACTTATCATTTAGAATCCAATTATTTATCATCTTGTCACCTATTACTTATCATCTTGTAACATATTACTTATCATCTTGTCAGGAAGTTGACAAGAGAAACTAATCACAAACTTGTAATTTAATGCATGTCATTATATTATTTCTATAATCTTTGTAACAAGTTCTCGTGTTCAATTTGTCACCATTTAACTTGTGACAAGTTCATGTGTTTACTTTGTCACCGAGTAACTTATGACAAGTTCTCGTGTTTAATTTATCCCCATGTAACTTGTGACAAGTTCTTGTGTTCAATTTGTCACCATTTAACTTGTGAAAAGTCCTTGGGTTAAATGTGTTATCATAAAGTTGTGACAAGTTCTTGTGTTCATTGTGTCACCAAGTAACTTGTGAAATGTCCTTGTGTTTAATGTTTTATCATGAACTTGTGACAAGTTCATGTGTTCAATTAGTCCCCAAGAAACTTGTGACAAGTTTTCGTGTTCAATTTGTCATCGCTTGTGACAAGTTCATGTGTTCATTTTGTCCCCAAGTAACTGTGACAAGTTCTCGTGTTTAATTTTTCATCGCTTTTGACAAGTTCATGTGTTCAATTTGTCCCCAAGTAGCTTGTGACAAGTTCTTGTGTTCAATTTGTCATCACTTGTGACAAGTTCATGTGTTCAATTTGTCCCCAAGTAACTAGTGACAAGTTCTCGTGTTCAACTTGTCATCGCTTGTGACAGGCTCATGTATTCAATTTGTCCCCAAGCAACTTGTGACAAGTTCTCGTGTTCAACTTGTCATCGCTTGTGACAAGTTCATGTGTTCAATTTGTCACCATTTAACTTGTGACAAGTTCATGTGTTCAATTTGTCACCATTTAACTTGTGACAAGTTCATGTGTTCAATTTGTCACCATTTAACTTGTGACAAGTTCATGTGTTCAATTTGTCACCATGTAACTTGTGACAAGTTCATGTGTTCAATTTGTCATCATGTTACTGGGTGAATACTTAATGTTGTTTTTTTTTTTTTTAATAACTTCCAACACGTCTAGAATAATGTTACCGGAAATTTGTTTGAAAGAATTGTCGTCGACACAAAATTCATCGACGGAAGTTTGGTCGAATGGAAGTTTGGTCGAATGGAAGTTTGGTCGAATGGAAGTTTGGTCGAATGGAAGTTTGGTCGAATGGAAGTTTGGTCGAATGGAAGTTTGGTCGAATGGAAGTTTGGTCGAATTTTGTTTCAGTTCACACGATCAAATATTCGTCAAATTTTTGTTTGAGCGCACTATACCATATGGTAAAACAAAATAATGCTTTCCATTTTTTCCATCGTAGAAATTCCTTTCAATCAAATTACCGGATACGGTAGAATAACTGATAAAAATATTATTATCTTTTTTAAAACTAGAAACAATAAAGTACCACATTGTTCGAACCATGACCATATTCAGCCTCGGTTTGAGGCACAGTTTGACCTTGACCTCGGCTGACACAAATCACGACCAGCTGATGGTCCTGGAAGACGATGGTAGGTCGTTGGTCTTTTGTTTTAATAAGGAAGAGATATTTGCTTATGTGAATAATGTCCTACCTTAAGATCTGCACTAAGACCCATATTAAGACCCACATTAAGACCTACTTTAAGACTTATTTTAAGACCTGAATTATGAAACATTAAAACACTTAGATTAGTCTACGTCAAGACTAAAGTGTCAAATAAATTATCCAATATTTTAGGTCAAAAGAGTTGGGTGGTTTTTTTTGGAGTAATTTTTGTCAAACCCATAGATAACCTCTAACAATTCATAAGTGACTTCCAGCTGGATCGTGTGTGTTGAATTATCTCCTTCTTCAATCGGGGACTAGCATGAACTTAAACAGCTGTCTTATATATATAAAATAATAATAGATACGATTATTATTCATACGTTAAAATAAGATTTTTTATTGATAAGATAAGATTCATTATTGATTTTAAATAAATACATTGTACAAATTGATGTTTCAGCACATACATAAATACATATTTTCACCACGACAACATTGTACAATTCTATCAATTTAAACACAAGTCGTCTAGGACTATTTCTCTAGCGTAGATACAATTCTATCAATTTAAACACAAGTCGTCTAGGACTATTTCTCTAGCGTAGATACAATTCTATCAATTTAAACACAAGTCGTCTAGGACTATTTCTCTAGCGTAGATACAATTCTATCAATTTAAACACAAGTCGTCTAGGACTATTTCTCTAGCGTAGATACAATTCTATCAATTTAAACACAAGTCGTCTAGGACTATTTCTCTGGCGTAGAAATCTGTCATCAATCAACTCGTTTAGAAGCAGTAATGCCTTAATTAGTGATCATTTAGATGTTGTTAACCGCTGGGTGAGCACTCTGGTAAATTCGTACAGACAGGGGACCAAAAGAAATGGTATATTTTTCTGTACTATCTTTAAGAGAGAGGATTTGCCTTGATCAAGCTGATCTTAGGTATCTGTGAAGAAGTGGGCAGGATGTATCATCCAAAAATTATAGTTTTAAAACGGCATTTTTGTTGAAATAGTTTTTTCAAGAGAATCATGTTTAGTTTGTATGATACTACTAGCTTTCTTCAGTAGTCTATTTAATGGGTGCCTGCTTTCAGACGATGAATTCCCGCACCAGCAGGTAACACTGAAGTTTAGTAGGCTTCCAATTGCTGCCTTTTTGAATAAGTTTAAAAGTTTTTGGGTTGAATTTTTTGTATACAGCATTTGACCGTGTTCAGGCCATATCAGCTTATTATGAATGATGACACCTAAGTGACTTATATGTCTCTACTTTTTCTATCCTTTCCCAGCCGGTGGTGTTTCCATCAACACGGCCAAGATTGTGCAGAAAGACATCATCGCGACTGACGGAGTCATTCACATCGTCAACAAGCTGCTGATACCAACCCGAGTGCTGATCCACATTGCTGACAGCGGCATCGTCGTTGGGTAACCCGATGACGAGATCAGCTCCCATGATATAAGCAGTCTAAGGAAACATGTATCGTTGTCCGAATAAAACAGCATGATCTCAGTTTAGAAGATTGTCATGTATCATTGCTATTCATTTACGGAGTATGATGAGACCACTTCGATGAACGACTTTACCTCTCTCTCTCTCTATTAATATATATTTCCTCTCTCTTTCTCTCTCTCTCTGACACTCTCTCTGACTCTCTATCTTTGACTCTCTCTCTTTCTCTCTATCTCACTCTCTCTCTTTCTCTCTACCTCACTCTCTCTCTATATCTTTCTCTCTTACTCTCTCTCTCTCTCTCTATCTCTCTCTCATGAGCCAGCATAGACATCAACGAATGGGAGATCATTGCTGAGGAACTTTCCAGCAGGAAAACAGCAGTGTATGAAGAAGTCAAACAGGAAGAAGATGCGCGAAACGAAGCTACGGGAGGCCAACTCTACCCAGGGGTCAAGATTCTCCTGCGAGAAATGCAGCCGAGGTTGCCATTCCAGGATCGGCCTAGTGAGCCATTTGTTGGAGTGTACATAGCTACTCCATCGTCTCTCGAAGACGGAAGAATACCATAGATAGATATTAGCATGAAATCTTCTTTGTTTTACTACAAATCGCTGAACATTATTGAACTGTATGAGAAGATGAGGGGAATAAGTTGTCACTTTGTGTAGAGAGAGGATTAGGACCGACGTCGGGCGGACCTGCGAACTGTTTGTTAAAAGATGAGCGTCTCGAAGTTTATCACTTAGTCTTTTTAAAGTCGTCCCCACGTCTTGGAGTGGTCATGTTTGTTGAACAACTCAGACGGGAGTCAAGTGGGGGGGGGGGGGTGGGGGGCGGGGGGTGGGGGGGGGGGGGGGGGGGGCGGGGAATGGAAAATGGGAGTCGAGAATTGAAAAAGGGGGGACGGGGGGGGGGCGTCGTTAAGAGTTGGGGGTTCGATGGTAAGGAGAAATGGTTTAACTGATCAAAGTTGTAGTAGTTTACAAATTAAATATTGGAAAAAGACATTTTGATTTCCCGGACACAAGCAACGCACTGAGAAGGACGCCATCTGAGAATATTTGGTTCATTCTTCAGTTTGATACGGAGCACAGAAGCTATTTGCAAATTCTAAAGTATGCAAGAAAAATATTTAAAAATGAAACGTGATCTTCAGCGTAATGTAAGTTTGATGTATCTAGTGTGTCTACAAGGGCTTTCATAGTGTGTCTACAAGGGTTTTCATCGTGTGTCTACAAGGGCTTTCATAGTGTGTCTACAAGGGCTTTCATAGTGTGTCTACAAGGGCTTTCATAGCGTGTCTACAAGGGCTTTCATAGTGTGTCTACAAGGGCTTTCATAGTGTGTCTACAAGGGCTTTCATAGAGTGTCTACAAGGGCTTTCATATTGTGTCTACAAGGGCTTTCATAGCGTGTCTACTTCATAGAGTGTCTACAAGGGCTTTCATAGTGTGTCTACAAGGGCTTTCATAGCGTGTCTACAAGGGCTTTCATTTGAATTACATCATTTGAAAACAAACGTAATTTTGAGAAAATCTTTGCACCGTTTGCTATTTCGGTCTTTAAAACGAAACATATTTTAAGAACAATTTAAGTACAGCTGTAAATTATCAATAATGATCTTGGCATCCTGACTTCCTTCTACATCAACAATTCTTCGGACGTGATTGCCCCCCTTCCCCTCCCACCCCCCACCCCGGGGTTTTTTGTTTCTTTTCTTTCAATAAGCCTCACTGGCAAACACTTTTTACACTACTGGATCTTGTTTTAGTGATATGTTCTTATCTATACCGTGGGAACAATGCAACATGGCTGCCAGAAAATCAACTTTCATAATAGCAAACAGATACGTTTAAAAGAAAAAAACATACACAACCGTTTCTCGTAATGTTATTCAAGTGTAAAGATAAGTCAAAAGCACAAGTGCTTAGCGTGTCCACACCTGATCTCCTTGTTACAAACATTGGTTGTTTATTACCTTTGTGTCTCCAATCCAAGCTTATCTCTCTCTCTGTTTTTCTTCTCTTTCGATCTGTCTCTCTCTCTCTCTCTTTTTCTCTCTCTCTCTCTCTCTCCCTCTCTCTCCCTCTGTCTCACACACACAAACATACATACACAGATACATGCATACACATAAAAGCACATACACACTCACATACATACACGTTAAACACACATTCACATGCACGAACTCATACAAACACATATACAAACACACACACACACTACCGCGCGTTCATTAAAAAAACCGAGATATCGACACGGTTTTAGTGGGGGGGGGGGGATTATTATTAGATTGGAAAAAATTCAGACCAGAAAATTTTAGAAAGAAACATTTACGACATAAATATAANTAACCTCTAACCCTACATTTAACCTCTAACCCTACATTTAACCTCTAACCCTACATTTAACCTCTAACCCTACATTTAACCTCTAACCCTACATTTAACCTCTAACCCTACATTTAACCTCTAACCCTACATTTAACCTCTAACCCTACTAGAACTCTTCATTTCCTGGTCTCCTCCCTCCCACAAGAGCAAGACGTTTCTGGAGCCAACATCCGTCAAATTTTTCTTGTCAGTCATGCTGGCCATTCGGGAAAAAAACGTTTTGGACAAGATAAGAAAATGTTGCAAATCACGCAACTCTAATGACCTTAGTGGACAGTGGCGCCCGATTTTATCTTTCCATTTTCGGTTTCAGATGAAATTAATCATCAAATAGAAGACTTGTCGTGAAAAGGTAATTTATTTTTGACATAATGTAACAGAAATATCTTCACCTTGTCGTACAGTGGTGTATGACTTATTGATATTTTTTTTTTTTTAAATTGCATAGTGATTAAAACGAAGTTTCTATTTCTTATTTATTGATCTGTCATTGGTTTGATCTTTAATCCCGATTTTTTAAATTATTTATAATTCTTTTTTTAGTGACCACAATTATTATGTAATATCGTACTTAATTATAATATTATTCAAATTAAATGTGAACCTGTTTTAGCATGAGAATTTTAAAAGACAATTTTCGTTTTCAAAATGACTTATTTGAAATAATTTTTTGTAAAGTTTGTGAATTTTTGTGTGTCCAGGACCTCCATCAGCACATCATCTAGTAACATGCCGTCTCTAGTTTTAAGCCTCTGTCTGCTTATTGCGGCACATTCTGCTTCAGCCCAGACATGTAAGTGGTTTTAAAAAGGACACATCTACAATTCGCCCTGCAAATACAACTAAAACTAACACTACCAATACAACTGACACTACCATATCAACCAAAACTAACACTACCAATACAACTGACACTACCATATCAACCAAAACTACAATCCAACTAACATTAACCAATACTGCTACCACAGCCCTTACAACAATACAATTTATATTTTAACCACCACTAAAATAAACAAGGTCTAATATTTCCTACGAAGTTTTTATTTCTTAATCTATTCGAAGACAATCAGAATTTTACTTTAAATACCTTCTCTTTCTTCAGTTCCCAACATTGTTGCGGCACTGAACTCCACTGGACATTTCACGGTATTTAGTGATCTATTGGCCAAATCAGGCATTCTTAAAGATGTCAACAATTGTGAGTATTATTATAAAACTTTAAGTGTTAAATTTCAGTTGAATTTGCAAAAAAATTTGTGTCTTTTTTGGGTTTTTTTTTATCACCATTGCTTAACATCACTAGCGGATCAGCACACACAAAAAATAGCTGTATTACAATGAACTTATTGTTGGTAAAACTATTGGCTGCCGGGTGGTCGAGCTGTCTAAACTGTCTCAAACCAAATAGCCGGTGGTCTGGCGCTCTATCCCCACCACAGTAAACATCCCAAGCACCCACGGGTGGATGGGACTCGCTAGCCTTGGGGGGCAACCCATCTAAGAGAAGGCAAATTGTGAATTTAAACCAGAAGCCAGAATGGTCAACAAATGTATCATATATAAGAAGAAGAAGACATAACCCTTTTTTTAAGCGATGGCTTAAATTGTGCAGATATTTCCAATAAACTATCCTGGCAATGCATACATTTTGTATAAATTGCAATTATTTATTCATTTTGCAATTAAATTTAAGTGCTGTGTCTTGAATAAAATCATTTAAGAATGCTATTTATTATGGACCGCATTTGTGTGCGTGCTTGCTTGTTCATGAAAGGTGTTGAACGAGAGACTGGTGTTGTGAGGCATGCAAATCTATGGCAATAAACGGAATACGAACACCGAGGTTGTAGTTTGAATGCTTTCCCAAAAACAAAATACCAACCTGCCCAAGGTCTACATTGTGCATGCATTTCAAAAACCAATCAAGCCCATGGAATATATTTCTAAATGTTCAAACCTTCCATTGACTTGCATTTAACAGCTTTTTCTATCTTTATTGCACGCCCTCCAATCGCACAGCCTTACATTTCACGGTGTTCGCCCCGACGGACGAGGCCTTAGCCAAGCTGCCCGCGGGCACTCTCACCGCCATCGAGGGCGATCCCGCTAAGCTGGCTGACTTCGTCGGCACCCACGTCGTTCTGACGGCCAGTTTCCACCTGATGGGGACGCAGCAAGACAAACAGATCAGGTCCACGAATAACCATTGGATCAGGATTAACACTTACAATATTCTCCATGTAAGTGGACCTGGGGGGGGGGGGGGGTGGGAGGGGGGAGGGGGAAGAGTACCAACTAAAAGATATATGTGGACGGGGAGTACCAACTCATTATTTTCCCATAACGGGACAAAGAATGTAAGAGGTCGTAGTGGGGGAGGATTGGTACCAATTCATTCGTTTCACAAAACGGGACTAAAGATATGTCAATAATTACATAGATTTCTCTGTAATAGATTTTCCTTATACCCCAGACTTTAATAGCAGCCTTTTTGTAAAACATACATCCAAAATTTCCTTTTTTTTTTTTGTGCAAAGGACCATTACAGCCAGTCTAAGTTTAACATCAAATATACTTACATTTTAAATCCCTAGACCGTGACAGCTGACGGGGTCAACATTACGGTGAAGAACATCGCCGTCACCCACGGGACCCTGCACGGCCTGGACGGCGTCCTCGTCCCGCCAACGTCCAGCGTGTCCCAGATCGCTTTCAAAAGGGCGGACCTGAGCAACTTCACATCCCTGGTGGTCAAGGCCAATCTGATCAACTACCTCACAGGTACTCCCACTAACTCACAGGTACTCCTCCCGTGTAACGGCATTAATGTTCGTGGACGCGTGTTGACGGCTGATATGGGGGTTGGCTATTTTATATAAGGCAATAGAAAAGTGACGGAAATGTAATTTATATTCTGTCAATGCATAACTGTAAGACGTTATGTTAAGAAAATGGGGGGGGGGGGCAGGGGTGTCCGACCAGGGTGACCTTTTTTTTTTTTTCTATGTATAGAGAGAGGCATGATATTTTTTGGCCAAGTTCAGATTTTTTTTCATAAGGGAAAGGGAGGGGGGGGGGGCGTCAATAAATGTGTCCCACACCGGGTGGAACTAACCCTAGCTACGCCACTGCCTCGCACGTGCTACAACAAACCGATGCTACAGTTAGTGCAAGGAGTAAAACATTGCACTAACGGAACAGAAAAAGGGCTTAATCGCTAGCCTTCTGATCCAACCCCCTAATGAAATGAACAACCTGGAGGTGAGATAAGACGCAAGAGTTCTGATCCAACCCTCTAATGAAATGAACAACCTGGAGGTGAGATAAGACGCAAGAGTTCTGATCCAACCCTCTAATGAAATGAACAACCTGGAGGTGAGATAAGACGCAAGAGTTCTGATCCAACCCTCTAATGAAATGAACAACCTGGAGGTGAGATAAGACGCAAGAGTTCTGATCCAACCCTCTAATGAAATGAACAACCTGGAAGTGAGATAAGATCGGAATGCATCGCTTCTCGGCGTCAACCCGGTGCAATGAAACGTGTACGAACGGTCTGCTACGTCACGAATTTTCGTGACGTGAGTTGTCATGTCGCACCTGAACTTTTTTCATTATGTCCATATCTATAGAAATCTAATGAACTATCATATTTTAAAAAAAAACAACTTCTTGTAGCTAGTAGCGACGGTACGTACTTCATACCCAGCAATGACGCCATCAGCAAATTGTCCCCAGCTGCCTTGACCTACTTGGAAGCACATCCCGCAGATCTGGCTGGTGAGTTAATGTTACATTTATTTTATTGGGACACTTGTTGAAAAAAAAAGTTTTTTCTTATTATTCGCTAAGTTTATTTATTGGTTTTAATTTAATTTTTTTTGGCGTTAATTTATTTGTTGGTGTTAATTTATTTGTTGGCATTAATTAATTTATTGGTGTTAATTTATTTGTTGGCATTAATTAATTTATTGGTGTTAATTTATTTATTGGTCTAATTTATTTATTGGTGTTAATTTTTTATTGGTATTAATTAATGTATTGGTGTTAATTTATTTGTTGGCATTAATTAATGTATTGGTGTTTATTTATTTTTGGCATTAAATAATTTATTGGTGTTTATTTATTGATATTAATTAATTTATTGGTGTTATTTATTTGTTGGCATTAATTAATTTATTGGTGTTATTTATTTGTTGGCATTAATTAATTTATTGGTGTTTATTTATTGGTATTAATTAATTTATTGTTGTTTATTTATTTATTGGTGTTAATTTATTTATTGGTGTTAATTTATTTATTGGTATTCATTTTTAGGCTAGAATTGTATTGCATTGTTTGATTTATCGTATCTCGTGTAGATTCACACTAAGACTGCCTCTATTTGACTTGTAAACCAATGGAATGTTCCACAGAGACCATCAAGTACCACATAGTCCGATCTATGACCGTCTTCAGCCTCGGTCTGAAGCACAGTCTATCCATGACCTCAGCAGACAACAACCATGACCTTTTGATGTTTTTGGAAGACGGAAGTGAGTATTCCGCTCATCTTAGAATTCACCTCACCGAGTTCAAATTTGCTTATGCTCTTGCTTTCCCATGTCGAAGGCGTTTTGTCTATACGCTTGACGTTAGGTTTTGTTGCAAGACTTTTCGTACCATCGAACGTTGTAGTGACAAGCTAGGGCAAAGTCCAGTGTGTGTGTGTCTGTGCATGCGAGCGTGTGTGGTTAGGTGTAAAAAATAACCATGTCTTGTTAGTATTGACTGTCTTGTTAGTCTTGACTGTCTTGTTAGTCTTGACTGTCTTGTTAGTCTTGACTGTCTTGTTAGTATTGACTGTCTTGTTAGTATTGACTGTCTTGTTAGTATTGACTGTCTTGTTAGTATTGACTGTCTTGTTAGTATTGACTGTCTTGTTAGTCTTGACTGTCTTGTTAGTCTTGACTGTCTTGTTAGTCTTGACTGTCTTGTTAGTATTGACTGTCTTGTTAGTATTGACTGTCTTTTTAGTCTTGACTGTCTTGTTAGTCTTGACTGTCTTGTTAGTATTGACTGTCTTGTTAGTCTTGACTGTCTTGTTAGTCTTGACTGTCTTGTTAGCCTTGACTGTCTTGTTAGTATTGACTGTCTTGTTAGTCTTGACTGTCTTGTTAGCCTTGACTGTCTTGTTAGTATTGACTGTCTTGTTAGTATTGACTGTCTTGTTAGTATTGACTGTCTTGTTAGCCTTGACTGTCTTGTTAGTATTGACTGTCTTGTTAGTCTTGACTGTCTTGTTAGTATTGACTGTCTTGTTAGCCTTGACTGTCTTGTTAGTCTTGACTGTCTTGTTTGTCTTGACTGTCTTGTTAGTCTTGACTGTCTTGTTAGCCTTGACTGTCTTGTTAGTATTGACTGTCTTGTCAGTCTTGACTGTATTTTCAGTCTCGACTGTCCTTTATGTTTGATTTTCATTATGTCATGATTGGCGTCTATACATGACTGTCTTTCATGTCTCATCTGTCTGTTGAGTGTCTTTGATGTCTCGTCTGACTATTGACTGTCTTTTATGTCTCGCCTGACTATTGACTGTCTTTGACGTCTCGCCTGATTTTTGGCTGTCTTTGTGGTCTCGCCTGACTATTGACTACCTTTGATTGTTGACTGTCGTGTTGCCTCGTCAGGTGGTGGGTTCATCATCAACGACGCCAAGATCGTAGAGAAAGACATCATAGCGACGGACGGTGTTATTCACGTCATCGACAAGGTTCTCATCCCGTCCCGTGTTCAAGCCCACATTGACGACTTTGGTGCCGTGGTTGGTTAATGTTTTATACTGACGGGACTCTGGCTGATCCTATTCAATCAAATAAAAACTACATTTGAAACCCTTGTTTCTGTAAAGTTTTTTTTTTTTAAATTTGTTTGACATTGATGTAAATACGCTCCATTCAAATCTCACTATAATTTTGATTTCCTTAATGGGGGGCTAGGAATAAAAGATATATAGAATTGGATAAACAGTTCTTTTTCTTTTTTTTTGTTGTGCTGGCTTCCGTCCGTCGCAATGTGACGATGGTGTGGGCTTCCGAGAAAAAATCTAATACACCTCAGATTATTTTTTCAAGGTTTATAAGCTGGTTCCCAACAGCAAATCGCCTATCTCCACGCCGCTGGATAACCCAAGGGAACATCATTTTGATGATACAGCTTGGCACCAGTGACGTCTCAGGAGTTGTCGGAATGCTTCACTGCGCCAATGTTATCCGCCTACGGGACTGCATCTCCGGGTTTCCTTCTCTCAGATGAGTTGCCATCCGAGGTTAACGAGTCCCATCCACCCGGGGTGATGGTGATGTTTTTGCTTGACAGGGCTCTGGCTTGAACTGAACTCCAGATCACCAACCTTGAGATTTGCTGTTTAGACCTGGATAAACATATAGAATTGAATAAACATATACATTTGGATAAACGTATAAAATTGGATAAACATATAGAATTGGATAAACATATCTTTATTTTAAAAAATCGTTAGTAAAATGTAAACAAACTACTAATTACGTGTCAACCATCTGTCAAACGAATAAAAAATGCCAGAAAACTAAGGGACAACGACAGATCACATGTCAGTCATGATGCCGGTTGATAGTCCAGAATCTGATATTGACAAGCCAAGCCAAATACAAATTTTAAGGGCATATGATTTTAAAAAATACTAAATTAAGGGTACCATCCATAAATGACGTTGCGTTCTTATGAACCCCCTCGTACCCCATCGTCACAAATCACCATGCGTGACGTCATAGTGTATGGACACCCCCCCCCCCCCCACAGCAGTGCTGACGTGTCTTTAAGATATTTGTCTTATAGGGTCTTACGTGATCACGTGGTGTGCTACGTGATCACGTGGTGTGTAACACGATCACGGGTATGTGAAGTGATCACGTGGTATGTTACACATTGAATCCGTCACCGTAGTCTATTTAGTTTTATTTATTTTTTTTATATATTTTTATGACGTTCATTTTTTTTTCTTTAAAAGTTCTGAACATCTAAGTTCTAAAAACCTGTTTCTTACCTTTCGTTTGTGGTCGTGGATGGCTGGCATAATCTTCGGACGGCTTATTTGTCCCTTTCCTGTCGACCTATCGAGCTGAAACTTAGCACATAGACTCGTCGCCGATGACCAACACATTCTTTCAAATAATTTGTGGTGTAAAAGCAGTTGGCTTCATTGGAGTATTTATACAGCTCTGGAGGGTTTGAGGGGGGGGTGTGAATAAAATGTGTGGTTGTGAGGGGAGCACTAACTGGGATTCTTATAATGCACGTTACAGAAAAAAAAATTTTGTCAAATTTTCAACCCCACACTCCTCAATCGCTCGATATTACATTTTATTAAGGCTTTATACAAGAAAATTCGTTGTCAGGCAGGAGTTGTTTAATTGACCAATGAATTGGTGCAAAAACGAGGCGATCACAATATTAAACTAAGATTTGATCAGACGATTTGTCGATGCACCATGTGAACACTTGTTCATCACGTTCGAAGACTTAAAGTTCCTTTCAGGAATGACAACCGACAACTGTCCACGCATCACTCGTTAGAATCTCGCTGTCGGTCACGACTTGCGGGCATGTACGTGGGCCAATGACCAGACATCATGATTCCCAATGCCGAATATATTTTTAGTAGACCCAGCACCGATTAACGTTGGATCAATTTCTTCGTGGCCGATGATGACACTTGAGGGTCAAGGCTAATACCGTTACCTTTCCGTTATCTATTGGCGCTACGTGCCTGGTGTCAGCGCTGCATGCAAAGACCAAAAAAAAAGACTTATGAAAGTTCTTAAGCATTTAATTCATTTGAGTAAATAAACCATGAACGTCAATGTTTTAGGTAACTATATTTGTCTGGCTGGATTGAAAAGTTGGTCTTGGAAGAGAGATAAGTCTCACTTGATATTGGTGTAGTTTGAACTATACAATTTAGGTTTTCAGGGTTTGAAAATGTCCATACTCCAAGACTTACCAACCTGATGTTGTCATCACTTACCAACCGGATGTTGTCATGACTTACCAACCGGATGTTGTCATGACTTACCAACCGGATGTTGTCATGACTTACCAACCGGATGTTGTCATGACTTACCAACTGGATGTTGTCATGACTTACCAACCTGTAGTTTTGATAGACGCTTTAACTTGTTTCTAATAAAATCCACACAAAAAATTCATAATAATAATAATTTTTAAATATTAAAATTTTTAATCAAAAATAGTATTTACAAACATAAAATTGTAATATTAGTTGTTTCAAATCAACATAAGGCACTGTAAATCAAACATTAGTGGTTGTAAATCAACATTAGAGGTTAAAAATCAACATTAGCGGTTGTAAATCAACATTAGTGGTGGTAAATCAACATTAGAGGTTACAAATCAACATAAGTGGTTGTAAATCAACATTACTGGTGGTAAATCAACATTTGGTGTTGTAAATCAACATTAGTGGTTTTTTTAATCAACATCAGAGGTTGTAAATCAATAAAACGGGTTGTAAATCAACATAAGTAGTTGTAAATCAATATTAGTTGTTGTAAAGCAACATTAGTGGTTATAAATGAACATAAGGGGTTTTAAATCAATATCAGTGGTTTTAAATGAACATAAAGGGTTGTTAATCAACATTTGATGTTGTAAATCAACATTAGGGGTTATAAATCAACATTTTTGTTTTTAAATCAACATGATTGGTTGTAAATCAACATTTGTGGTTGTATATCCACATTTGGGGTTGTTAATCAACATTTGATGTTGTAAATCAACATTAGTGGTTTTAAATCAACATTAGTGGCTGTAAATCAACATTAGTGGCTGTAAATCAACATTAGTGGTTGTATATCCACATTTGGGGTTGTTAATCAACATTTGGTGTTGTAAATCAACATTAGCGTTTTTTTAAATCAACATCAGAGGTTGTAAATCAATAAAAGGGGTTGTAAATCAACATAAGTAGTTGTAAATCAATATTAGTTGTTGTAAAGCAACATTAGTGGTTATAAATGAACATAATGGGTTTTAAATCAATATCAGTGTTTTAAATCAACATAAAGGGTTGTTAATCAACATTTGATGTTGTAAATCAACATTAGGGGTTATAAATCAACATTTGTGTTTTTAAATCAACATGATTGGTTGTAAATCAACATTAGTGGTTGTATATCCACATTTGGGATTGTTAATCAACATTTTGTGTTGTAAATAACATTAGTGGTTTTAAATCAACATTAATGGCTGTAAATCAACATTAGTGGCTGTAAATCAACATTAGTTGTTTTAAATCAACATTAGTGGCTGTAAATCAACATTAGTGGCTGTAAATCAACATTAGTGGCTGTAAATCAACATTAGTTGTTTTAAATCAACATTAGTGGTTGTAAATCAACATTAGTGGTTGTAAATCCGAAATAAGTTTTTTAACTGGCGTATATCTTTACGTTCCGTGGCGTCAATGTTGTCAAATGTTCCTCATGACAATGACAACTATGTCAAACGAACGTTTTTTTAATTATTTGGGTTCATTTTTCTATGTTTATCTATCAATAAAAACTAAATAAGAAGAAGCAGCTATCATTCACGCATAGATTTAATTTTCTGGCAAAATGATTGAGACATGGTCAGTTAATATATGTTGTTGCTTTTATTTTATTTAGTTTCTCAACAGATTAGGGAGGCTATGAGTCATTTTATTTTTTTTATTTTCTAAACTCAATTTTTTAATTAATAATTTAATTTTTTAAGAAAAAATTTTCTGAAATTTTAGTTTCAATGGAGAGCAAAAAATTGTTGTTGTTTTTTTGCGAGAATAACAACATCTCCACTTCCTATGATGATAGAAACGTGGACATTGTGATTGAAAGAGTGGGAATTGTGTGAATATCAGTTTACCGAAAAATACAGTTAGGAGGTTTGGAAACTTTTTATGAGATCACTAATTTCACAACATTTAATTAAGTTACAGACATGAAAATTGGGGTAAAATGTCAAGTTGCGTTTTTAAAATAGGGCGAAATTTAAAATACTAAATGACGATGCATAGTTCTTCACTATGCAAGTAAATGGATATAAGTATTTAAAAATTAATTAATATTTCAACGTTTTAACTTAAAAAAACAACTGATGACAACAATTGTAAAAGCTAAAGTCTACTAAATTTAAAAGAACACAACTTGTGGCGAGAAACGTAGAGACGTAATGAAAAACGTGCAAAAATTGATGACGTCATGACAGCGGAATAACAATAAATGTGTTCTTGTATTTAACTTCTCTCTTATTTTGTGACCCCCTTATCAAATGTCTGCAGTCCGTAAAGTGTGTAATATAAAAAGAGATTAGAAAACGCTAGCAGGGCAAAACTGATCTCTCGGAATAATTCTTAACCTTCAGACTGATCGAGTTCATATTGCAGGTATGAACACAGCACAATTATATTTATAAGGTCGTTGTTAGTATCTTCCAGAGAATAACGTAGTGTCATAGTATCATTGGCTGTTGGTTTCATTCAGCTGCTTTAAAGTAAAATGTTTGACGATACTTAATTCTACATAATTGAGGAACAATTCTATAAATAGTTGTTATATGAAAATTAAAATCGCAAACATTGATTATAAGCTATAAAGCTGTCCTGATAACCTGATTTTTTTCTATTTACAATTACGAATGGCTTCAAGTTAAACCATTGTTTGTTCTGTGTCCTTTGTACAAGGATTATGCTTTGATTTTTTAATTTTTTTAAAAATTATTTGTTTTTAATTCCTTAGATTCAGAAATAAGTTGAAACATAAATGGGGAAAAAAATTACTGGAGCAAACTATACATGGCCTTTGATCGCTAAAATAATAGAATTGATTTATGAATGCATTTACGCAGAAAGTTAGAACAAGATCATAGAAAATAAACCTGATTTCATGGCAGCGTGGTAGCGCTCAACGGTTTGCCGTTTATTTAAACTCCTGTAGCATGTGTTTAAGCTTATCCACTTATCCACAGTTCAAACATGAGGACTCTATTGGGATGCGTTATCCTGCTGGTGATTGGATCCGCTGCTGCACAGACCACTCCTCAAAGCTGTACGTTTGTCAAACACGCCGTTTGTATACGTTTGTCAAACACGCTGTTTGTATACTTTTGTCTAACCAGCTTTAACTTTATTTATTCCTCACATTCCCTTAATTCTCCCGACAGGAAGTGACGACACTTTTAAAAATCTGCATTCTAAAATCGTATTTAAAAATCAACTGTTGATATATTTGGGATAGCGTACATCGTATTGGCATTGATCTTCTCTGCATGTTTACATCCAGAAGCAGTCATTATAGCTATGGGTAATATACCTCCGTGTCGTTAGCTGTGTTGTGAGTGTAACAAACGGTCATCACCAATCAGGTAAAGACATAAGTCTCAAAGAAAGACTGCTATCCAAGACTAAATAAAGTAAATGGAGTCGTCCGCTAAAGCTGTCTAAAAATAGCATGCCTAGGAATCTTGTTATATGAGAAATGAATGATCTCAAAGGCACTCGATAATTTCAATTCTAGAAATAAGCAGCCAGATATTTTCATCATATCTTTCAAGGGATATAACTATTCTCTTAAAATAGAAAATGTAAATTAATTTCTTATGCAGAACCGTGACTAAAGGTACTATAAGATAAGTCCTAAATTTGAGTTGAGCCTTAAAGTAATTGTTAACGTCCAGTTAGCAATGTACAATAAAACAAAGTTCTCAGCTTTTCTTTCCAGTGCTGGATGTTGTGGACGCCCTCAAGGCCAACGGTCGCTTCACAGTCTTCTTGGACATTCTTGAAAATTCTGATGTCCTTGACCGCATCAATGCATGTAAATATAACTAAGTCTTTAGCATCATTTGCAGCTTCGCTTAAGCAGTAACAGCTTTTTGTGTGCCGGAATTGTTAATTTAGGCTTGAGTAATATCTCACTCGAGATGAGTAGCTGAAGGGAATAAATAAACTATCGAGTTCATTCAAAAGATCTGTGGTTTCTTCAGAGAGAAAAATGTATATCAAACTGTGGAAATCAGATTTAGCCAGTTTGTATTTTAGAAATTTTTAATTAAATAATTAGATATCAACATCTAAGTAGCTAGATTAAGTCGAAGATAAATGCATTTAAAAGCCTCTAAATTACATTATTTTATTAGAATTTACTCAATGTCTCTTTTTTAAATGTAAAATTAAGCATCATCTACACCAGGCCCACACAACTCAAAATGTAAGGCGGGCCGTAATACTTTATAAAAACCGTGTGCGGGCCAAAAGAAAATAGAACAGGACTTGTGTGGGCCAAAAGAAAATAGAACAGGACTTGTGTGGGCCTTCAGGGGAAAAATTATTAAGAAAATAATAAGAATAAAGATTATTTGGTTACTTCGCAGGCCACAAATAGGGTGCTGGGGGGGGGGGCGTATGATGTGCAGGCCTGACTGATCTAGATCATTCACACAAGTTTTGGTCAATTCCACAATTGATATAACATTATTGTAACTCGTCTCGCAGCCAACCACTTCACCATCTTCGCACCGACCGATGCCGCCTTCGCCAAGCTGCCGGCCGGTGCACTTGACGCGCTGAAGGCTGACCCGGACAAGCTGGAGGACATCTTAGATTATCACGTGGTGCTGAATACCGCTTTTCATGGGAACCAGCAGGACCAGAACCTGAAGACCGCCAACAACCTGACCGTGAGGATCAACTCGTACCCCATCGTCCATGTAAGTCAAGAGATGAATCCACGGTTGGATGGTTTAGCCTTCATCAGTTACATTTCATGTACGATGTGTAGATTCAATCTGACATGCGAGCGCTCTTTATTGTCAACTGCTTCTATCGCTGCAATAATTATTCATTCATTTAATGATAACTTACGAATTTAACGATAACTTATGAATTTAACGATAACTTATAAATTTAACGATATCCATCTTCCAAAACTCACCCTCATGCTGAATATCCTGATCGTGCCTCTTAAACAGAGTTGTTTTCCTGTCCAAAAGTAGTCATAATTTAGAGATGACCTGTTTGATTGGATAAAGTACTGGTGTGACGTGATTGGTGATTTGAAATTTACTGGATTCTGATTGGCTCCTTAAAGATGGCAATATATGGCTGTAAAATATTCTTATTATTTTCGTGTGTCTAATAAGTAACTAACAGAAAACTAACAAGTTACTAACACGTGTCTTACTCCTATCTAATATGTATCCAATCTTCTCCTCTGTGTGTGTTTAGGTTGTCGCGGTCGACGGCATCAACATCACCATCAGAAACCTTCGTGTCGTTGACGGGTACGTCCAAGGTATCGATACCATCCTGACGCCACCTGTTGGTAACATTGTTGACATCGGGACCAACAAGCCCGAGATTTCAACCTTCGAGAGTCTGATCGCCCAGGCCAACCTGACCAACTATTTCACATGTATGCATTATACTGCCCCACATTCCTTTCATATCTCATGTAGTAGTTCAATCATAGGTAGATTTGAAGATAGACATTTAAATAGGCAGACAGGCAGATAATTGAACAGCAAGATATGGGGATATAAAAACAGCTTATTTTGATATCTTATCGTCATTACCAAGATAAAGTTTCTTTTTTTTTTAAAAAGAAAGAAAATGGCAGCAAAGATACAAAGACTCGTTATTTTTAAAATAATAATCTTCTTAAATGATATCACAGCAGAACAAGTCAATTTGCTAATTTGTTTCATCACACTAAAATGTCGTGCTCACCAGCTGACCACTCCACCACAATATTTGCACCCAACAATGACGCCTTCAAGAAGTTGAGTCAACAAACCCTGGACTACTTGAGCAGCCACCCAGCTGACCTGGCAGGTAAGGCAAAGACGAGTTTACATTGTAAACCTGACACGTGAAATATGAGACGCATTGGCCATCTGGGTGCATGTGATATACTAAGCTGCGGTATATGTGATACATTAGCTATGTTCCTATCTCTGATTTCCTAGCAATACGTGAAAGGGTATGTAATTCTGTTCTTTCTCATTCCAACCACAATCTGCCCACACTAAAGCCATTAAATGACCAACCCAGGAAGGCTTGCCCCAAATTTTTGCCCTGGCCTCCGGCTGAAAAACAAACCAGGTCAAATGGCTGATGGATCCCAAAGGACGCTTTTTGATGATACAAGATCTAATTCTTTCAAAACTGTCCAATGACTTGTATTTTTTGATGCATGTTAAATACCTTCAGCTGTTGTTTTCAATATCAATTATTTATTCACCAGACGCTGTTTTGATCTTTTCGTTACAGAGGTGCTAAAATACCATTTGGTCAAACAGCTGTCGTTGTACAGCATTGGCATGAAACACGCGCTGACTGTGCCCACATCTGACCAGCACAAGGACAACCTCATGATTCTCGAGGATGGAAGTAAGTCAACAGTCAAGCAATGGATAGAGAATAGAGAATAGTTAAGCAATGGATTTGCTTAAGCGGTTTTAAGGAAAAAGTACTTCACGTTTTTTAAAGACAAACAGACATTGCGTACTTCACGTTTCTTAAAGACAATCAGACATTGCGTACTTCACGTTTTTTAAAGACAAACAGACATTGCGTACTTCACGTTTCTTAAAGACAACCAGACATTGCGTACTTCAGGTTTTTTTAAAGACAAACAGACATTGCGTACTTCACGTTTCTTAAAGACAACCAGACATTGCGTACTTCACGTTTCTTAAAGACAACCAGACATTGCGTACTTCACGTTTCTTAAAGACAAACAGACATTGCGTACTTCACGTTTCTTAAAGACAACCAAACATTGCGTACTTCACGTTTCTTAAAGACAAACAGACATTGCGTACTTCACGTTTCTTAAAGACAAACAGACATTGCGTACTTCAGGTTTCTTAAAGACAACCAGCCAGAATCTTAACATTTGAGACTTTTTATGGTTGTCTTAAGTGAAACATATTGAATAATGACGTCATCAAATCAAATGTTTTGGAAACTATTAAGGATGATATTTTCGTTGTTTCTTGTTGTTGTGATTTTATTTTAGTTATAGTCATAAAAAGGATTTTTCACTTGTTGGTCAATATTGAAGATGAAAAAAAAACGGACAGGAAAAACAGTCATACATTGGTGGATTCTACAGTTTAAAAAAGTGTAGTATTTAAGTGGAAGAAAATTGTGAAATCGCCATATAACACACAAAAACCATACGAAAAAGATCAGATACAAATGTCCATTGCTTCTTTATGGAGCCCCAATTAATTTTCGACTTGCATTTAAAAATAGAATGGCGAAAAAATATTGTAATGTCCCTTAGGTAGACCTCTACAACGCACTCCATCTTACCAACATTTGGGATACTACTCGATCGTAAACAAATTCTCCCCCCAGGTGGCGGTCTCAAGGTTAACCACGCCAGCATCGTGGAGCGTGACATCGGCTCTGTCAACGGAGTCGTCCACGTCATTGACAACTTGCTCATCCCCGTCCGCGTCCAGGTGGCCATCGCCGACAGCGGCATCGTCATCGGTTGACCGTCACCGCCATCACCATCATCACCACCATCACCGTCCTGATCCCGCGGCCATGTTGGCTGACATCTCAATGGTGCCAACTGCCTTCACTTTGCTTCTTCTCTTATCCCTGTAGTGTCGCCAAGAAACATGTCTTGAACTTACTTCATCTGAAACACGTGCTTGGTGATGGAGAATAAAGATTATTGTTGGTTTTTACGTGCGTGATTCATTGTTCCATTTAAGTTAATAAATATTTCCCACTATAATTGCAAATGTTTGATTATACATTTCATGCTTTAAGTAACTAAATAATCATCTAAATATTTTTTACATATCTAAACTTATTGTAACTTATTTAAAAATTGATAGATATTAACTCCGTAGAAAGGCTAAATGGCTTATAAAACTCTCAGCCCCTTAGGAGCCCCGTAGGAGCCCCATAGGAGCCCCGTAGGAGCCCCGTGGGAGCCCCGCAGGAAAACCTTCCCACCAAGCAGGGCCACCTACGCCTAACTACATCACGACCTGACTACCCCGTCAAAATCTTCCTTACCAGGCGCAAAGTTCTCCTGCAATGGCAAAAGTGGGCTGCAGAAAATCAGGTTTCGGCGCGAAAACAAATAAATCTTTCGGTTGATTTTCGGTAGCGGTCGAAAGGGATTTATGCTTTCTTTCGCCTACCAGATGACAGACTGTCACTATGTCTGTCTGTTGGCCGGAAATTCTATATTCCTTACTGTTGGACGTCTTGCTGTCATGGTATGATGTATGACTAATCCACTGCGAAAACTACCCAAAGCTCATGTCAACAAAATTTAGACTTAGGCAAAGGGTCAATAGTTTTGTGGGGAAAGAAACACTTTGGGAATGATAATATTTTATTTTTGTTATAATTGTTTATTTTTACCAAGTTTTATCCACATCTTTCAGTTTCGGTGTCGGCCGAAAGTCTCCTTAAGCTTTTGGAAGATTTTTTATATTTTGGCCGAAATTTTCTTTTTAAATTTTCGGTTTGGTTTCGGTTTCGGCCGAGACAAGAAATTCACATTCGGACGGTTTCTGAATCGCATGGCACTCGGTGAAATAAATCAGGGTTTAGATGTCTACTCACCGTGAAATGTCCGGTATGATTTTTAGAAAGGGATTTCTTTCATTTGGCTGCAGGTGGCGTTAGAGACACATGATGAGCAACAATAGCGCTACAACTTCAAGCCAAAGGGCTACAACTTCAAGCCAAAGGGCTACAACTTCAAGCCAAAGGGCTACAACTTCAAGCCAAAGGGCTACAACTTCAAGCCAAAGGGCTACAACTTCAAGCCAAAGGGCTACAACTTCAAGCCAAAGGGCTACAACTTCAAGCCAAAGGGTCTGTTCTTGCGTCATGGAAAAATCAACACAAACTAACGGCATTTCTTTTGTTTTTATGAAAATAACCTTAAAAATATTTACCCTGGATTTTGATCTGAAAATGCTTATTGTTTGATTCGATGATTCTTGAGTTTCGTTTTCATCATGGGATAGTTCAGTTGGGGGAGGAGGGGGTTGGGGGTGGGATAATCAAATCAGAAATTTTTTGCTTGCAGGTCACACACAGAAAGCTTGACATATATTATTGAAAACACTCTCTGTTTAGAAAACACACATATTTAACGCTGGTTCCAGCCTCGCTAGACTATCTACTCCTATTTAAATTAACTAACTGGACGTTACACATCTTTGCAAATTGACCTAACTGCACTCCATACATCGTTTTAAATTAAACCAAAAAAAGAATCTATTGATCTGTTCAAATTAACCTAACTAGATAAAGATTCCCAAATGACAGTTAATATCAAATACAGACAAAAGCCAAGAAATCTTTGTCTGCATCTGAACTGACTCCCGCCCCCAGTGTGTGCTAGTTTACTTTTAGAAATGAAAATTCTGTACAAAAACAAGTTTCCTTTTGGTTCATTTCATGCTCGTTAGTGCGTGCGCCTTAAACCCAAAGAGAGTCGCTGTTTTCATTCTGCGGCCCACATCCTCATTGAGATGCTTCGAGTTCGGAAGACAGGTGGCCCCAAAATTGTTGAACATCTGTCCCCTGTTTTCATTCTCTTCTAAATAAATCAAAATTTCAGAGATCAACTGCCAAGAAAAGACCTCAACTGGGCCCATAAGTACTTAAAGGTATGAGAACCCCTTTCGTGTTAACATATTTTAAACAGTAAGACGACTCGTGTACAAGAGTTTATCAACTGTGAAGTCCCCTTGTTCAATTCTGTCGTGGACGCTACTCGGCTCTCTAAAAATCAAGAATTGGAAAAAAGGGTTACAAGAAGATCTGAATGAAATAATGGCTTGGAATTATTGATGCGTGTTGCGAACAGAGAGGTTCAAAGGTCACTTGATGTTTTTTAAACAAGTTTTTCTTAAAAGATTTGATACATGACAAACAAGTCAACGTTATGAAATGTGCCGCCTTCTTTAGAAACGTACGCCACATCACAGTGTCGTGTCGTCGTGGTGACCTTAGTTTGAACACATCCAAGGTCAAGATTAACTTACCGTGTCTCCTTTCGTTACCTAGTATTTGACCTGGATTCGCTATCAAAGCGGGTCAATGAGATAAATGTCCCAACCATTGACTGAGGACATTTGCACCAATGGTGCTCTTTTAATTAGCTATCAGTTTACCGATCACCAGCTCAGAAATGTGCTGCTAATTAAAACTCAACTAAGTCAGCTCACAGAATCGTTTTAATTCTTAGTCTCTTTTCTTTTCTTAACTTTCAGATATTATATTGGATCTATGTTCTGATCTATACAAAAATTATAGATCCAACTTCTGCAAAGCCCTTTTTTTTAACGGTTTCTTTTTTCTGTACGGTAAACCATTCATTGATGAATGAAATGAATGCGTTATTTGTTTCTTTCCTTTGTGTCTATATTTGACGAACATCTTTTTAAATCCCCTTAATGAAAGAAAAATAAAATGAATGAGTTATTTCATTGGCAAATCTACTTGTCAAAACAGCATAGTATCTGTTTATTTTTTAAAGTCAAATAAGCCCCCCCCCCCCCCCCACCAAAAAAAAACAGTTTTTCTCCCATATCCACGTTGAATTGTCGCCCATTAATTGGAAGACAATCTTAAGAAACGAGAAACACTCCCAAAAAATATTGGGAGACACGTAAGCAAATAATGTAAACAGTTCTCCAATTTGACTCCAGTCTACGTCATGAACTCAAGTCAAATACTAAATGAGTGTCAGTTAGAGCACTTATATAAGACAGGGGATTTGGCTCTAGAGTTTTCATTCCTGACAAGATTTCACTTTATTTTGTATTTTTAAAAAACGGGTTGCGGTTCTTTGGTTTAAACGTTTTCTAGGTACTAAGTTAGTTCTTGAACATCTTCCTTGTAAAATAAATATACACTGCTGGGCTGGACCTCATAGTTTCGTTTAATATATGTGTTGTCCTAGCACTGATCACGTTAGAAGTCATTTCTGTTGAGCCATTATCTCTTTCGTGTCGATGCTTATTATTGTGTATTTTTTGGCTCCGTACCGTAACCAGAGTGCTCATCACTAAAGGAGATATTCTGTTTGCTGCATCAAAAGTAGCCGTCACTTGACTCGGTCTTGCAGCGCATGTATTTTGTTTGCTGAGATGAAAAAACGTACCAACTGTTAACCCTTATATGTCGACGTATTATATATTTTCTACTGCAGATCTGTAAAGATGAAGACTGTGTTTCTCTGCGTGGCTGTGATATTTCTTGGCGCGGTAACTGCCCAGACGGCACCCTCAGCATGTACGTAACAATAAGAAAATTGTGTTGAGATGGCTAAAATGAAGTTAATATTTTTTTACGGCGACCATCCTTCCAACTCAAATATCAAACAGGAAATAAGAGAGCAGCACACGAGATTCGTATTTCTGTAAAGACGTCTCCTTATAATACGTGTATTAGTTATTTATTGTTATAATAAAGTTAACGATTAGACAAAGAAAACAACGAGCTTGTCTTTCATCACTAATGAAATAAACTCTCTGCTCTTCACCAGCAAAACGATTCCGCTGATTCTCATTCTCGGCGTAACCCTAACCGGTTCCAATCACGTTAGTTGTTAAAGCACCAAGTGTCATGAATCAATAATCGCGTCATCTTTCCACTTGCCTTACAGGGCCTGACATTCTGGCGGCCCTAAAAGCTGACGGCCGTTTCACCGTGTTCGCTGACCTCCTGGAGGACTCCGACACCTTAGATCGAATCAACACATGTAAGCAAGTCAAGAATGTAATGATAATTATTTTAAAGTTAATATTTTTTAAGTTCCCACTTTTTCGACTTCAATACGATAACAACTTCATACTTATTTTTCTTCATACGGCTGCACTGTTCTTAAACTGTCAGAACGAAACTGGCGTCAATTTATTTTCATTGCTGACTCCAAATATTACTACAAAATATCCATCTTTGTTAATAGTTCCAACCCCGTCTATCGCACATATAAAATAAAAGCAGTAGAAAAATATATTTTTTCCGATAACAATATGATGTACACACGTTCACTAATATTTGTAGTATTAAATAAAGTTAATATTTGAACAGCAAATATTTGTGCAAATATTTGGACAGCAAATATTTGGACAGCAAATATTTGGACAGCAAGAAGCCACAAGATTATAGTGATCCACCAAAAACATTAGCCACAAAAAAAACTTGCCACAAAAATGTAGCCACAGAAATGTAGCTACCTAAAAATTATCCAAAAAATGTAGCCAAAGAAATTAGCCACAAAAAATTTAGTCACAAAAATGGAGTCACAAAAAATGTAGCCACGAAGAATGTAGCCACAAAAAATGTAGCCACAAAAAATGTAGCCACAAAAAATGTAGCCACAAAAAATGTAGCCACAAAGAGAGTCAAGGTTCCTCTTAATCAAAGATTTCATTAACGTTATGAAAGACAGGCTGAAACGTCCTATGCACTCAGCCACCAAATATAAGTTAAACTAAAAGCAAAGCTAATGAACCCTAGCTCTAACTTTAACCCACACAGATCACACTGTACCGCCGATGTGTTGTAACATCTTTCCAGATGTTTTTGTAACAATTCTTTCATCTTCTCGCAGCCAGCCACTTCACCGTGTTCGCCCCCACCGACGCAGCATTCGCCAAGTTGCCGGCCGGACAACTGGACGCCCTCAAGGCCGACCCGGACAAGCTGGAGGAAGTATTGGGCCACCACGTCGTGTTGAAATCAGCGATCAACGTCAACACACAGCAAGACAAGAACTTCAAGGCAGCGAACAACCAGACTGTCAGAATCAACTCCTACCCCATCGTCCATGTAAGTTTAAATTATTGTGAGTTGTGTGCGAGTGGTGTGTGCGAGTGGTGTGTGCGAGTGGTGTGTGCGAGTGGTGTGTACGACTGGTGTTTGCGACTGGTGTGTGCGAGTGGTGTGTGCGAGTGGTGTGTGCGAGTGGTGTGTGCGAGTGGTGTGTGCAAGTGGTGTGTGCGAGTTGTGTTTTGTGAGTTGTGTGCGAGTGGTGTGTGCGAGTGGTGTGTGCGAGTGGTGTGTGCGAGTGGTGTGTACGACTGGTGTGTGCGACTGGTGTGTGCGAGTGGTGTGTGCGAGTGGTGTGTGCGAGTGGTGTGTGCGAGTGGTGTGTGCAAGTGGTGTGTGCGAGTTGTGTGCGAGTGGTGTGTGCGAGTGGTGTGTGCGAGTTGTTAGCGAGGTGTGTACGTCTCTCTATCTCGTTGCTTATCTTTATATCTTTTTAAATGTATCTATCCGTCTCGATCTCTCTCTCTCTCTCTCTCTCTCTCTCTCTCTCTCTATTTCTCTTTTTCTCTCTTTGCGAATACCTTCCCCCTGTAACGCTTTCAGTGTCAAATATTTTATTTCCCTCCAGCCTTCCCAGTCTACGTCGACAACTAGTCTATTTCTATGTCTTCATCTGTAAATTTTTTGCCCAACTGTTCTGTCGATACATAATTACAAGTAAAAAGTTCTTAACTAAATGGTCTTCTTATAATTATTATGCCACAACAGCCGTAACAAAAATCCAGACCCGTATCCCCATTGAGGCAGTTGTTTTATAAAGTAATCGACTATTCTGTTTTCTTCACTGTATTATACGTCCCGACCAGACAACTCCCTGGGCGGTGGAGGGAGAGGGGGGACAACGCAACACTTTTTCCAAGGAGAGGAAGCAAAGCCGTTCAGACCCAAGGAGAGTGGACCGCGAACGCTTTAAACGCAGCGTTTTCAGTCGACCGGACGTCCCCCAGGCCAGTGGGAGGGGAGGTCTCCGGCGTGCTTCCACACGGTCTGGCGGCGGGGAAACGCGGCGTCGGGCTGTGTGGGCGTGTGCTGGGAGGGGGTATTAAGAGCTCACATTCGACGACCCACCGACGCCATCTCCAATGAGACGTTATAAGTATTCGTCACGCTTCACTTTAAGCGCTATATCCATCTTTGGATATCTTTCAGCTTACGTTCTCGGTGTGCGCCATAAAGTTAGCTGTCAAAATCACGTTATTGGTATCATAAAATGCGATCCGAATAAATTTATTTCTTATCACAAAGTAGCTTTAGTTTTCTTGCTCGGCGTGACGTCTTTCTTCCCCTTCAGGCCATCACCGTAGATGGGGTCAACATCACCATCAGAAACATTCATGTCGACAGCGGATACATCCAAGGTATCGATACCGTCCTACGACCACCGGTCGGAAACATTGCCGACATTGCAAGCAGCAGACCCGAGCTTTCAACCTTCGGGAGTCTTCTGGCCCAGGCAAACCTGACCAACTTTTTCACATGTAAGACATTACCTGAAGTAGTCTGGCCCAGGCAAACCTGACCAACTTTTTTCCCATGTAAGACATTACCTGAAGTAGTCTGGCCCAGGCAAACCTGACCAACTTTTTTCCCATGTAAGACATTACCCGAAGTAGTCTGGCCCAGGCAAACCTGACCAACTTTTTTCACATGTAAGACATGACCTGAAGTAGTCTGGCCCAGGCAAACCTGACCAACTTTTTCACATGTAAGACATTACCCGAAGTAGTCTGGCCCATGCAAACCTGACCAACTTTTTTCACATGTAAGACATGACCTGAAGTAGTCTGGCCCTGGCAAACCTGACAAACTTTTTCACATGTAATACATTCCTTATCCTGCCCCCCCCCTCTCTCCCCAAACCCGGCCCCGACATTGATTTACTGTTGTTTGTTTTAGAAAACTTAAACTTATAATATTGTAACGAGCTCTCGTTTGCATAAGCAGGTCAGAAGCTTCGTTTCGTCTACGGGGTAGTAAGGATCAACGCCAAACCACCGAGATCAATTTTTGATATCGTTCTCTTTTCAACAATCAACTCTTTGAGCGTGGCCTTCTTCCTTCCACCATGTCCCCGCAACGCATTACCAACCACAACCACAACAACGGACAACGTCATCTCTCCTAACCGAAAAAACAACAACAACGTCACCAATCCATAACCACATAGCGACAGCTACACAATTAATCTCAAAACCAAATACGCTGAATGACAAATCAAGTGGTATACAACACAAACCAAAGCACACAATCATGGAACACATTATTCACAAATTTGATACTGAATATTTCGTCAAATTATAAATCAGCCTATAAAAAATAATCCCATCAACATAAATGTACGTTGTTCTCATTAGTTGCTTTTTTAAAAATCTTGAATACTTGCTCCTATTTTCAGCGGATCACTCCACCACCATTTTTGCACCCAACGACGACGCATTTAAGAAGCTATCGCAGGAAACACTCGATTATTTGAACACCCACCCGTCTGACCTTGCAGGTGAGACTAACGGCAATAATCAAACATTTTTAAAAAAAAACATAATTGTGGTGGATACAATAAGAATTGGCTGTGACGTTATTTCAGCCAATCAAAATGTCTGACGGCACATCGCCTCTTTCCTTTTTAATCGAAAACTGTTGACACAAGTTTCTTGTTCACATAAATTCTAATATTCCCTTTTTAGATTATATAATAAATATATCTGATCTAGATTGAGAACCTCGATATAACAAATAAAAAAGGGCCAGGTTTTGTGGCAGTGAGATTACGACATTTATTTAAAATTAAAAAATCAAGCGATATAACAATAATCATTCCCCCCACCCCCACCCTTTTTTTTTCCTCCACACTACAGAAGTGCTCAAGTACCACCTGTTCAAACACTATGCCGTCTACTCCTCTGGGATGAAGCACACATTGACACTGGACACAGCTGACCAGCACAAGGATAATCTCATGATACTGGAGGACGGCAGTGAGTGCTTGCAAAAACGATGCGTTTGAACTGAGATGATGGCACTGCTGGCAATGCGCTCTGTTCAGGGTGGATGGTCAGATGGTCGCATAGGTTGGAGAACGATGGAAGTGGATGGGTGGGTGAATGGATGGGTGGGTGGGTGGGTGGATAGATAGATTTATAGATGGTTGGATGGATGGGTGAATTTGTGGATGTAAAGATGTGTGGATAGATTGATGTATAGAGGGATGGGTGGATGGGTCCACTGAGGAATCTTTTGAAGAGTGGATGGTTTCAAGGGTGAATATGACTGGAAAGTAGAGTTCTTGGCGGGTTAATTCATAAGTAATAAATCAGGATAAATCAATATTCTGTTGACAGTTGAACAAGAGATCATAGGAGAATCTGGCGTGAAGACATTAGAATTTAATAATGAAAGAATTTCTTCCACGAAGGGAGATTGAATTACAGGGGGTAAGGATTACATTGGGTATGGATGACATGAGGTATGGATGACATGAGGTATGGATGACATAAGGTATGGATGGCATGAGGTATGGATGACATGATCAATGAAGAAAATACTGGGAAAGTGGAGTTAAAATTTACTGATGGAACCGGGTTGAAAGAATGGCTTACCTGAAGTGTGGATAGAATAACAGATGTTTCGAGGGTCAGTCAGTCCAACAAGAATAGTTTTTGTTGTTGTTTTTTTTGTGTGGTTTTTTTCGTATTTTTGTTTTCAATAGCAAGTTGTATTGGGTAGAGAGTATGTTAACTGTCCAAGAGTGACCTGACCTGACTGCTGATTAAATTGTCCCACCAGGTGGCGGCCTCAACGTCAACAACGCCAAGATCGTCGAGCGTGACATCCCATCTGTCAACGGAGTTGTCCACGTCATTGACAGCGTGCTCATCCCCATCCGTGTTCAGGTGGCCATCGCCGACAGCGGCATCGTTGTCGGTTAAGTTGTTGAGCCTGTGGGTCTCATTGTATATTTCATAATCCTTTGTCCTTCATCTTCAATCACTGGGGCCCACAGCTCTGGGTTTGACTGCACTGGGAACAAGAAAGCAATGTCATTTATGGAAATGCCACTTTGTGGAGCTGTCATTTAGGGAGAATGTCACCCTTGAAATAATCGTCACGTTAAAAAAATGGGTTTGAAAATAGTTCTTTGCAACTTGACTGTGTGTAAAACAAAATGATATGTGTGTGCTTTTTACAAATAGTTTTATTTCCCATATAGTATGTTTCTTAAACCTAATGTATGCTTACTGGTGTACGATATCCCTATGACCCAAGTCTATGCCCACAGTCTATGCCCACAGTCTATGCCCACTGTCTATGCCCACAGTCTATGCCCACAGTCTATGCCCACAGTCTATGCCCACAGTCTATGCCCACAGTCTATGCCCACAGTCTATGCCCACACATAGTGTTACTCTGATCCACGATATCTCTATGCCCACACATTGTGCTACTCTACTGTATAAATGAGATGAAAAGTTTGATCACGTCCTTATACATGTATTTTACTTTAAACAATATGTATTTCATATCTGGAAATAAAATTCACGTCAACAATTCAAATTCGTTTGATTTACTTTTTTTGTTTCTTTTGCGTAACAAGTTTCAGATGAGTCCTTTGCTAACTTCAAACTAGTTTCAGATGAGTCCTTTGCTAACTGTAAACAAGTTTCAGATTGAGTCCTTTGCTAACTTCAAACTAGTTTCAGATGAGTCCTTTGCTAACTTCAAGCTAGTTTCAGATGAGTCCTTTGCTAACTTTAAACAAGTTTCAGATTGAGTCCTTTGCTAACTTTAAACAAGTTTCAGATTGAGTCCTTTGCTAACTTCAAACTAGTTTCAGATGAGTCCTTTGCTAACTTTAAACAAGTTTCAGAAAAATCCTTTGCTAACTTCAAACTCACATTTTTTTTACCAGATAAGGTTTGCGCTCCACACTTGATTTCTCCCGAATGTTTTCATGCGCCAGCACGTGTCATCTTTACATCCTTTATATTTAACTTCGCTCTTGCTCGCGGCTGGCTGGCGGGCAAAAATCTTCGGACGGCTAACCGACCACTTCCCCGTCAACCTATCGAGCTAAAACCGGACACATAGATTCGTTGCAGATGAAAAGTTATTCATTCAAATTTTCAGCCCCCACTTCTCAAACCCTACCCCAAAAATAAGATGTTCCTTTTTTTTTGTTCAGGGAAAAGTAAAATAGAATTTCCCGATAACTGCGCTCAATGAGATTCTCTCTCTTTTTTTTTTAATAGCACAAAAGCGTTTGGTGTGTGGTATTTTCTTTTGTTTTTTCTAAAATTGTTGGAGAAATAAATCTGTGGTGTAAATACGTGTGTTTACGAGTCTTGAGGGGTGTGGGGGGGGTGGGAGCACTAATTGGTATTCTTATAAAGTGCGTCACGTGTTATGCATGTTTTTTATGAAAATTTCAGAAGCAAACCCACTGATTGATAATAAATTTTATAAAGGATTTATATGAAAAAAAATTTGTTTTAAGGGTTTGTTAGATTTTTAAAAAAAATATTTTTGAAAACCGTTTTGATAAAATTGTTCAGAAAATACAAACATAAACCTTTGATACAATAGATTTGATTTTAACAAATCAATAAGTTATATTATTAATCGTCTTAATATTGTGTTCTGCTTCCCTATGCCTACGATATTCTTCATTAGCTATCTTTTGAGATTTAAAAAAAAAATACTTTAAAAAACAAATTTTGAATAAAGTTGATGCCTGCTGCCAATATCTGACTTGGAAACTAGTGTAAAACGTATAAAAATAAGTGTTTACCTCAGAGTAACAACAGGTGTATGTCAAAATAGCGAGACAAAAAGGGACGGAACTGATAACTATGGACTTCAAAGTTTCGTACTTTCATAATTTCAACACATCACTATGATTATTTTTTTTAATTCATAACTATTATCTTATAGTATCTTAAATTTTTTTATCGAACGAAAAATTGTTGGTCCCTTTTCGGTTTTCACAATTCTTAATTCTCGTGCTTTTACAGTGCTGTCTCTTTTTTCCCCACGTCATATCACATTTTTGAGGATACTGGCATTGCCAATTATACTTGAAATTGTTCCAATGTTTATTAACATAATGCAGCTTTCGTAACAAAATGATTCAGTTTGTTTTTTTTTTTTTTTTTTGTTGTTTTTTTTTTGACTTGGTCACATGCTTAGCAGTGGAAATTAGAGTTTACAAGATAGTTTGTCTTCTTTTGGGACCCTTCAAAATAAAGCCCCACTCTGTCAATGTGGTTAAATTTGCTTTGAACATATCTCAGTCAAAAAAAAGGGTGAGCCATCACCCCAGACTGAACAATGCAAACACTTGCGGCAAAATTCTGGCCGAGCAAAATGGTGCCAACTTTTTTTCTTTGGAATAACAACCAAAGTTTCCATTCGCCCTTTATTGCGTGGTCAGGTATCAAATCAAACATTCAAATGCTCGGAGTGGATTACTAACTGGAGTAAAGAATCTTTGCCAGTGGCATAGCTAGGGTAAGTGCCCCCTGGGGTGGGGGGGGCAAGATATATGCCGCCCCACATCCACGAAACAAAATCTGCAGTTTTCTGAAAATGCAGCCCCTTTACATAACAAAAAATATACCGCCTGGGGCGGAAAACGTTCTCCGCCCCCCACTCCTACGCCACTGATCTAAACTAAAAGTTCGTTAAAAAGAAAAAAAAACCAATGTGTAACAATAAAGAGGGGGGGGGGGGGCTACAGCCGATGTCAAGAACTGACAATTGGAATCATCAAACTGTCTCGAAAACAAAATTATGCATCACGTAATTTTGAGCTCTGCAGTTTGTCAGGTAAACACACCAAGAGAGGCTCCAGGATTTCAATTGGGACAAGATTGGTGACGTAGTTAGTTTTTAATGTCTAATTTTATTTTATTTATTATTATTATAATTATTTATTAATTTTTTAATTAATTTTTTTGTTTTGTTCTTGCGAGGGAATATATTCTAATCTTGGACAAAATTATTAACTAAATTGATTTGGCTTAGAATTAACCATGGGGGGGGGGGTCTAGAGTCATATCGGCCTGAGTTCGTATTCACAAACACAAAGCAATCGAACGCCATGTGAGAGTCACGTGGATCAAGGGGATTTTTGTATCCATTCTTAAGTTACCACTATGGATGGTGGATTTAAGATTGGTTTGCTGAAATAATGTGGTTCCCAAATTTGATATTGTCCTTTTGCGAATCATACTGTGTCCCCCAGATCTACGATGTTGGCATGGGGCGGGGAATAACTCTGTCTTGATTTGAAGGCGTAGTAACACGATGTTGCGTTTGAGAGTAGCTAAACCAGGGGCGTCTACGCAGAGGGGGGAAGGGGGGGGGTGTGGAATTGAGACACCCCTGAGTTAAACCTTTTATTATTATTTTAGGGTTCAGATTACGTGCAGGAGGGATTTATGCGGGCACACTCCTCCTTCAGCTAAACCTTTTCCAAAACTGAATGTCTGAGGAGTAAATCTGTTCGAAGAAAGTCTGCGGCTGGCAAAAGATATGATTTTAGGCAAACTCATAATCACGATACGGTAATAATTTTAAAATGTTCTTGCATGACGTGCACAGCTCCAGGTCTTAGAATCTCCGATGTTGTTCCTTTCATGTGTGTAGTTGTCAGGGCTAAAAAGTAGGTCTTACCGTTATCTCTACCCAACTCAAGGTCCACATCTCAGAATTGATTCATTTTTTTTTTAAATCCTCAATACTAAGATCATACATTCAAACAAACCCGATCCAGAGTTCATAAATTCAAATGAGTAATGATGTCACTAGAAGTCAACATTGAGTAATGATGCTACTAGAAGTCAACATTGAGTAATGATGTCACTAGAAGTCAACATTGAGTAATGATGCTACTAGAAGTCAACATTGAGTAATGATGTCACTAGAAGTCAACATTGAGTAATGATGCTACTAGAAGTCAACATTGAGTAATGATGCTACTAGAAGTCAACATTGAAAACATTTCGTCAAATATTGGAATGAATTACTGAAACATTATTTTGAAACCTCTACACGATAACAAAATACCTGGACTACGTCATTGAGGAATTCAACCGAATAGCTGTCAAATATCTTGAATGAGTTAGTTAACTACTTACTTATGTATGCCTTCTACCCGGGGGGAGGGGGGGGGGCGTTGGGACGTCTAGAAGAATGTTCCACTCATCTCGGTCCAGTTGCTTCAAGGTATATCTCATACTTTGCGTGACTGCCTCTATCTCACGTCTCATGTACCCCATACTTTGTGTGTCTGCCTCAATCTCACATCTCAATGCATCCCACCCTTTGTATGCCCCCCGCCCCTAGTTCGCGTCTCCATGTATGCCAGACTTTGTGTGTGATGTCTTCGTGTATTCTTTGGCCTTCCTCTCTTCCTTTTCGCCTTGGGATTCCTTGTTAAGGATAGTTGAGTTGGGTTATCCCGGACGTTTACGAAGAGTGTGCCCTATCCCATTCCATTTATCCTTATGACGCCTTCAGCAATAGGCTTTTGGTATTTATTTATTTTTTCAGTTAGGCATTTTTGGGGAGGATGTTCGGCCGGTCATGGCGGGGCCGAGATAGTTAACAGTAAACGGAATTGAAACGGTTTTTGTTTTGTTTAACAACGCTGATTAAAACCATATACGTTCCATTATTTGACATGACGCGTTCTGCCTTCATGAACCCGCGTTGAAGACTTACCTTCGGCTCAAAGATATCTCTATAAAAGCTGGGAACAGTGTCAGAAAATCTGTCCAAACGTTATCTGCACTTTTAGGATTTTCAGTCATTTTAGTTTTTGGATAGTATCCGTTTGCTCTCTTAGGGGTAAAGATTCGTCTTTGATTCCATAAAGGTGCGTCTTGATTCCGTAAAGATTCGTCTTTGATTCCGTGCTTTTAAAATGCTTTAAAGCAATTTTTACTTGTTGAAAAGTAGTTTAATTGTATTCAAAGTACTATTAAATATGCCTCGGTTCAAATAAAATGTATTTAAAGAAAGGTTTTTTAAAAAAACATTTCATTTCTATGACGGGAGTGAGCGAAACAAACCAAGGGAAAACCTGACAAAAGAAGGCAACAAAACAACGAACGTGTCGCCAAGAAGCCCTCCTCGGCGAACCAACAACATTTCTATGACAAACTCAGCTGATTTTTTTTTTTTTGTTTGTTTGTTACAATCTCTGTGGTTTGTCAGGGGTGCCTCTTTATACACAAAGTGTACGGATCAAGGTTTCAGGAGACATTCATTAATATTAGACTTTGGACTTTGTGTATTGAACGAATTGAAATATTTTGTAGTTAAAAAATTATGTTTTGTAACTATGGCAAGTCAGCAGTTCTGCTGTTTTAAGTTGCTTGTTTCCAATGACCTGTACCGCACAGTGTGAGACTGAGAAACTGCCTCTGGTCTTTCCAGTTCTTTTTTTTTCTATAAATAAATGAGTTAAGAAATTCCGTTAGGATCATGTTATATTGCCTGAACACCGATGACGCCCACACATAGAAAGATTTCTTAAACCAGTATCAATTAAAGTTGACGAGGTTATGTTACTATTACATTCTTCACATAGCTATTGATTTTTTTTTTTTTTGGACATGTGTCTCGTGTCTACAGATGAACATGCTGAGATTGTGTGTCTGCGTCGCTCTGGTGCTTGTTGGTGCAGTCGGTGCTCAGACAGACTCCACTGACAGTAAGTTAAACTACATCGTTTAAACTAATGTTTAACACATCATTTTCTCTGAAATAAATCGTACCCTCTGTACAGTGATTACGGCAATTTTTAATTGATTTTTTAAAAATGTATTTATTTTTATTTATGTATATTTGTTGGGGGGGGGGTATCTTTTTAGTGGAAAATATAATTTATTGTTTCTAAAACTTGTGGTCCCAGTCATGGTCCTTTTCGAGGTTGTGCCTTCAAAAGATATGAATGGGCAGTTTGTGTGAATGCTTGTGCGCGCGGATGTATGTATGTGTGTATAATTTCTTATGTGATGCCCACATTCTCATACGTTTGTTTTCAAACTTATTGCTTTTGAATAACGGTGAATTGTTCCCCCACATGTTGCAGTACCGGAAACTGACTCTACCACTGACGACACTGATGCTCCTGAACTTGGTTCAACAACGGTCGCCCCCATCTGTACGTCCATTTGGGATTTCATAAACCACATAATGGTGTTGTTTTTTCAATATTTTTTTAAAAAGTTAATTCTTTAAATTCAAATAAATTATTATTATTTGTACACACATTTTCATTAGTTATATTTTGTAAAAAGATTATCAATAGGGAACGCTTGGAGACTATGGCACTATTATTGTATCTAGTATAAACTATATTATTTGGCTTCTTTTCAGATCCATACATTATCGATGCCCTAACATCTAACGGTCATTTCACCGTATTCTTAGATCTGCTTGAATCTACTGATCTACTCACACGGATCAATGCATGTAAATTTTAAAGTTGATGGGTTTTTTTTTTTTTAAATATTAATTTTACATTTTTTAAAGTTTGCGTTTAATGTAGTCTTTACATTTTACCGGAGTACATTTAGAAAAGCCACATAGAAAGCATTTTTTCGTCACGAATTAAAAGCACTGTAATGTATAAATGCACTCTCAGCCAGCCACTTGACCGCTGTCTTGCATAAATCCTCTCTCAGCCAGCCACTTCACCGTGTTCGCTCCCACCGACGCAGCGTTCGCCAGACTCCCAGCCGGACAACTGGACGCCCTCAAGGCCGACGCAGACAAGCTGGAAGACCTCTTGAGCTATCACGTCGTTCTGAACAGTGCCTTCAACCTGCACGGCATACAGCAAGACACGACACTGAAGACTGCCAACAATGACTACGTCCGTATCAACACCTACAGTGTTGTGCATGTAAGATGTCACTTTGTACATTCCCATCTTTCCCCACCTACAGTGTTGTGCATGTAAGATGTCACTTTGTACATTCCCATCTTTCCCCACCTACAGTGTTGTGCATGTAAGATGTCACTTTGTACATTCCCATCTATCAACACCTACAGTGTTGTGCATGTAAGATGTCACTTTGTACATTCCCATCTATCAACACCTACAGTGTTGTGCATGTAAGATGTCACTTTGTACATTCCCATCTATCAACACCTACAGTGTTGTGCATGTAAGATGTCACTTTGTACATTCCCATCTATCAACACCTACAGTGTTGTGCATGTAAGATGTCACTTTGTACATTCCCATCTATCAACACCTACAGTGTTGTGCATGTAAGATGTCACTTTGTACATTCCCATCTATCAACACCTACAGTGTTGTGCATGTAAGATGTCACTTTGTACATTCCCATCTATCAACACCTACAGTGTTGTGCATGTAAGATGTCACTTTGTACATTCCCATCTATCAACACCTACAGTGTTGTGCATGTAAGATGTCACTTTGTACATTCCCATCTATCAACACCTACAGTGTTGTGCATGTAAGATGTCACTTTGTACATTCCCATCTATCAACACCTACAGTGTTGTGCATGTAAGATGTCACTTTGTACATTCCCATCTTTCCCCACCTACAGTGTTGTGCATGTAAGATGTCACTTTGTACATTCCCATCTATCAACACCTACAGTGTTGTGCATGTAAGATGTCAATTTGTACATTCCCATCTATCAACACCTACAGTGTTGTGCATGTAAGATGTCACTTTGTACATTCCCATCTTTCCCCACCTACAGTGTTGTGCATGTAAGATGTCACTTTGTACATTCCCATCTATCAACACCTACAGTGTTGTGCATGTAAGATGTCACTTTGTACATTTCCATCTATCAACACCTACAGTGTTGTGCATGTAAGATGTCACTTTGTACATTCCCATCTATCAACACCTACAGTGTTGTGCATGTAAGATGTCACTTTGTACATTCCCATCTATCACCACCTACAGTGTTGTGCATGTAAGATCTCACTTTGTACATTCCCATCTTTCCCCACCTACAGTGTTGTGCATGTAAGATGTCACTTTGTACATTCCCATCTATCAACACCTACAGTGTTGTGCTTGTAAGATGTCACTTTGTACATTCCCATCTATCAACACCTACAGTGTTGTGCATGTAAGATGTCACTTTGTACATTCCCATCTATCAACACCTACAGTGTTGTGCATGTAAGATGTCAATTTGTACATTCCCATCTATCAACAACTACAGTGTTGTGCATGTAAGATGTCACTTTGTACATTCCCATCTTTCCCCACCTACAGTGTTGTGCATGTAAGATGTCACTTTGTACATTCCCATCTTTCCCCACCTACAGTGTTGTGCATGTAAGATGTCACTTTGTACATTCCCATCTATCAACACCTACAGTGTTGTGCATGTAAGATGTCACTTTGTACATTCCCATCTATCAACACCTACAGTGTTGTGCATGTAAGATGTCACTTTGTACATTCCCATCTATCACCACCTACAGTGTTGTGCATGTAAGATCTCACTTTGTACATTCCCATCTTTCCCCACCTACAGTGTTGTGCATGTAAGATGTCACTTTGTACATTCCCATCTATCAACACCTACAGTGTTGTGCTTGTAAGATGTCACTTTGTACATTCCCATCTATCAACACCTACAGTGTTGTGCATGTAAGATGTCACTTTGTACATTCCCATCTTTCCCCAGGATGTCACAACACGTACATTCTACAGTGAAACATGTAAGGGTACTTTCCCCACCTACAGTGTTGTGCATGTAAGATGTCACTTTGTACATTCCCATCTATCAACACCTACAGTGTTGTGCATGTAAGATGTCACTTTGTACATTCCCATCTATCAACACCTACAGTGTTGTGCATGTAAGATGTCACTTTGTACATTCCCATCTTTCCCCACCTACAGTGTTGTGCATGTAAGATGTCACTTTGTACATTCCCATCTATCAACACCTACAGTGTTGTGCATGTAAGATGTCACTTTGTACATTCCCATCTATCAACACCTACAGTGTTGTGCTTGTAAGATGTCACTTTTTACATTGCCATTTGTCCACGCAGACAATGCAAATACAGCCGATGTCTGACCCTTTCTAATATTTTTGAATCATTTGTTGAATTGTTCTTTAGCCAAAGTTAACTTCATATAGAATATCCCGCTATTACATTTTCTATTAACTTCTCCTTTAACTTCATGCTGGCGATGTTTAGATTTCGGTTTGGCAATTTTGGAATAAAGCTAAGATTAAAAAAAATAATTATTGGCCATTCTGGTAATAAACATTATAACGTGCAGAAATAATGTAATGTAACAGAAGAAAATAAAAACAGAAGAAAATAACTATTGGGAAAACCCAGAAAAAGAGAGAAAAAAAGCTTATGGACAGTCTAGGTTTTATTCTATTATTTCAGTAACTACATTAAATTACATTTAAATTAAATCGCAATGCATCCAAGTCTTGAAATATCTGTAATTATTATTTTAACAAGTCTGGGTTACAACTGACATGATCAGTCACAGCCAATGCTCACAGCCAATGCTCACAGCCAATGCTCACAGCCAATGCTCACAGCCAATGTTAACAGTCAAATGTTCACAGTCAAATGTTCACAGCCAAATGTTTACAGTAAACGTTCACAGCCTAATATTTACAACCAATGTTAACAGCAAAATGTTTACAGCCAATATTTACAGCCAATATTTACAGCCAATAGTTACAGCAAATATTTACAGCCAATATTTACAGCCAATATTTGCAGCCAATATTTACAGCCAATGTTTACAGCCAATATTTACAGCCAATGTTTACAGCCAATATTTACAGCCAATTATTACAGCCAATGTTTACAGCCAATATTTACAGCCAATATTTACACTCAATATTTACAGCCAATACTTACAGCCAATACTTACAGCCAATATTTACAGCCAATATTTACAGCCAATATTTACAGCCAATATTTACAGCCAATATTTACAGCCAATATTTACAGCCAGTGTTTGAGATTTTTTTTTTTATTTTGTTCCGATTATCCAACTGAGGTGAAATATTATGAACTTTGCCCCACATAACATATTACATTTTTATAATCTGTTTGAAATATAGTTTTCTTTAATTATAACGAAGTGGCTATTCGGACCCGGGTACCAGAAGTGAGAGGTTGGGATTAAAAAACAATTTGAAATATTATTGTTGGGTTTGTAAGACAAAATGAGGTATCACATGAAAGATAATTGAATGGACTACGTGTTTGTAAACTTAATTCTTCAGTTTAACTAAAATAAACTACCGCAAATGACATCCGAATAGCACTGAGTCAAAATGGACCCAGACACGCAGCGCCGCCATTCGCACCCGGGTACCATTAGACCCAAGCTATTCGGATGTCATTTGCGGTAGTTTTTATTCATTTTTTATTTGCTTTGCCAACAATTTGTTAACATCGCCAGACCGTCACGGTTGACGGGGTCAACATCACCATCAAAAACATCCCGGTCAATCACGGCTACGTCAATGGCATCGAGAAGGTCCTGTCCCAGCCGATGGGCACTATTCTAGACATCGCTAGCAACAGGTCTGACCTCACCACGTTCATCAGCCTTCTTGGGAAAGCGAACCTGAATAACTTTTTCACATGTACGCTTTGATGTTGTTGTTTTTTTAATTAAATTTTTTTTTTTACTTTTAGATTTCACCCTTTATTCTCTGGGCAAACAGCTGGGACGAATCATTGTTCATAAAGCATGCTCATAGATTAGTTATTCCCTTACAGTTTGCACAGTAAAGTAACACAAAATCACGCCATGTTTTGTACAGTGTCACGTGATAAAAGACGGCATTGATAAGTATTCTATTCTTAAAACAAAATTAAACTGAATTAAACATACGTTATTTCCTTTAACAACAATGCATACCCTTGTCAATTTGAATCCTTTTACTGTATTTCTTTGAGTCGTTTGCTTTTGACCCTCCGTCATAAATTCGGTACTAAGGCCCAGTTTTTGAAAAACCCGGAATCGGAATCTTTTAAATTCATCATTTCATTTATGTTTTTTTTTTTCCTTCATCTTTTTGTCTCAGCTGACCGGTCCACCACAATCTTTGCACCCAACAACGACGCCTTTGCAAAGTTGAGTCAGGGGACTCTCGACTACCTCAACACACACACGGCTGACCTAGCAGGTAGGCTACAGACGATAGTAGCAGCAGATTGGTGTTTTTGTATCTTACGCATATTTTTGCGCATTTTAATTGTCTTTTTAGGCGCTCTCTAATAGACTTATTTTGGCGCCCTTTAATTGTGTCTTTAGGCGCTCTCTAATAGACTTATTTTGGCGCCCTTTAATTGTGTCTTTAGGCGATCTCTAATTGACTTATTTTGGTGCACTTTAATTGTGTCTTTAGGCGCTCTCTAATAGACTCATTTTTGCGCCCTTGAATCGTTTCTTTAGGCGATCTCTAACAGACTCATTTTGGTGCCCTTTAATGTTTTCTTAAGGCGCCCCTAATCAAATAATTTTGGAATTTGATTTGATTTCTTTTTTTTTTTTTTTCTTTTTTTTTTTTTTTATTTTTTTTTTTTTTGTGTTTTTTTTGTTTTTTTTTTTTTTTTTTTTTTTTTTTTTTTTTGTTTTTCTTTTTTTATTTTTTTTGTTTTTTTTTTTGTTTTTTTTTTTTTTTTTTTTCCTTTTTTTTTTTTAAATGTATAACTAAATAATTTCTGGATATGTGTATGCAATGACGTCAACTAGACAATGAACCTTTTAATTACAGGCAAAGTGAAAAATAAAAAAAAAAATTAATTATTGATTTATGTGTTTCCAGAGGTGCTGAAGTTCCACATGATCAAGCACTACGCCTTTTACAGTATCGGGATGAAGCACACGTTCTCAATCGACTCCTCTGATCAACACAAGGATATTCTCATGATTCTAGAAGATGGCAGTAAGTGATTGCATCTCTCTAGCCAGTACTCGATTACCATTTTTTTTGTACTATATGTATTGCTGATATGCTGTGTTTTTTTCCTCCCTGGTCGAATACTTTCTTGCTTTGTTGAAGGATGTCCTGGGCCAACCCTGCCCATTAACAAGTATCCAAAACTTGAAAAAAAACAATATCTAGGCTAGTCCCCACGTAACTAGCTCTCCACTCTTGTTTTTCTCTCATAACCATACGAGACCATTCCTGGCCAGGGTGCGTGTTTATCCGGGCAATGTTTAACTATGCTTTACAAGTTAGGCCTTCTGTTTGGCAACACAAGCATTACTTAGCTTATTAACAAATGGCAATACTCGGAAAAATAATTATTTGATTCCGCCCCCCCCCCCCCCAAAAACCCCCCATTTTTTTCAAATGTAAAGCTCTTATTTGACTAAAATATTTCACCAATATCTTGCCTCTTTGTTATAGAGCAGTGGCTGTGCATGTACCTGTGTTTGAAAGGTCAAACTATTCAACGTTCTGATGGGAGTTTACGACTTCCAATTAGCAACCTCGCGCAACCAATTAGGGCAAAGTTGTTTTTTTCTAAAAATGGCGATGGAAGCCAAATTGATTTAATTTAAAGTTTTCTATTTTTCTTGTCGAGCAATCTTGTAAAAACGTGATTGAGTGACCGTTGTGGTCATAAATCTCCAATCTATCAGGATTTTCCAGCGCTCTTTCCCTTTCTGCGTAAGGGACCAGTTAAGAGACACCATATTGGTTTTTGTTTTTGTTTCGTTGAGTCCCTTACCAATTAAAATAATTTTAGTTTAACATTTAAACTAATGTAAATGTTTTTCAAAGACTTATTGTTAAATAAGTTAAGATGATAATATCCAGGCACCTTGTGATAATGCCAACAAAAATCAATTCCTTTGTATGAATAAAGCAATTTTAAAGCACCTCGAACTGGTGTCTTAACTTAAAATCTGCTATTCCGGGTTGTACATTTTCAATACGTTGGAACATTAATTTTGAAAACCGATAGATTAGGTTGTTGTACCTCATTGCATCGTCTTTCAATGCTGAAAATTCTCTCTCTCTCTCTCCCCCCACCCCCCACCCCCACCCCCCCCAGGTGGCGGTCTCGCTATCAACCACGCCAAGATTGTCGAGCGTGACATCAGCTCCGTCAATGGAGTCGTCCACATCGTTGACAGCGTCCTCATCCCTGTCCGTGTCCAGGTGGCCATTGCTGACAACGGAGTAGTTGTGGGATAACGGACATTCATATATTCGAATTTTTTGTAATAGAACTATATTTTCCTGAACAATTAAAGGGTGAAATGTAAAAAGGGTGAAATGTAAAAAGGGGTGAATTACTTAAAGATTGGGAGGAAAGCTCGAGCAACGCCTCTGGGAGGCACAAAATCTTTACTTCGCCTCTGAATGTAATTTCAAAAAAAGAAGTAATATTTTCAATATATGCAAACAAATAAAGCAATATGTTGTGATTTTTTTTAAATAACAATCCTTTAATTGAATTCACTTTAGGAAATTTCCAATTAATTAAATTCATGCGTATACCAGGTGAGAGGGGAGATGGCGGATAGCAACAAGCAGAGCATGCAAAATGAAATAGAGCGATTGCAACGAATGTGCAGGAAATGTGTAGGTCTCTTGTTCAAATGCTGTGTACCAAAAATGACTCTTAGACTGACAGTGAACGTCAGAAAAGCCATACGTCTCAAGGAATTCTACCAAAGTCATTTTTTCCCTCCCGTTATCATGCATGATTCGCTCGATCCATTTTAAAATCTGCCCTTCTCCCGACCATCTTCTTTCGAATCAAAGTAAAAAGTTGTGGTGACGTCATCTTCTCTTGCATCAAAATGGGAGGTTTAGAGATTAAATCTTCTGTTACATCAAACTAAAAGTTGTGGTGACGTCATCTTCTCTTGCATCAAAATGGGAGGTTTAGAGATTAAATCTTCTGTTACATCAAACTAAAAGTTGTGGTGACGTCATCTTCTCTTGCATCAAAATGGGAGGTTTAGAGATTAAATCTTCTGTTACATCAAACTAAAAGTTGTGGTGACGTCATCGTCTCTTGTATCAAATTAAAAAAATGTATAGGATCCCTGAAACTGCCCCCTATACTTTAAATGAAGAATCTACTCTAGCCTCACCCTCCCAAACCCCCTCACAAAATCAATATTTTTATTTTTTTTTAAAGTTTTCAATGTTCTCGTGGTATTATTTGCACGGAAACAAAGTTGTAATTTTCAAGGATGTCCATAAGTGACTGAAGAATTAAGCTTTGGTTATTTTTTTCCCCCTATTATTACAAAGCCCCCTTTCTGAAAGCCTTGGGGAAGTTTCAGGAATGACGTGTTGTTCAACAGACCATGCGGGGTCTCAGTTCGAATGTTTTCAAGTTTAAAGTATTAAGGCAGTGGTTCTTAATCTGGGTTCGATCGAACCCCAGGGCTTCGGTGAGTCAGTCTCAGGGGTTCGATGAAGGTCCAAAAAAAAAATCAGAAAAAAATCATATTTTATTTTTCCTATTAAGAAGAGTTCGGTGAATGCGCATATGAAACTGGTGGGGTTCGGTACCTCCAAAAAGGTTAAGAACCACTGGTTTAAGGTTTAATTAAAGTTTTTCAGAATTTTTTTTATTTGGGGTCACTAAAATTCTTTCTCTAGTAATAGACCACCATATTTTTTGGTTTCAATAAAGGGAAATACGTGTTCATTCTTCTCGGAATGTAATTCATCGGCTTGGAAAAGAAGGAATGAGATAGTGTTGTTTTTTTCCAATAAGCCTATAGATAATAGTTTAGGGTCGTAGAAAACACGTGTAGTCGCTTAACAAGAAGCAAGGGGTGACAGTGCTGAACGGAAAATTTATAAAGCATTTATGACATGTGTGAATGTGATTGAAACAATTAATTTTTGTAAAGTTGGGATTCAGTCAACGTGTGTCACTGACATGGTAAGAATATTTTTTATGAGGATATCAAGGTCTCAAAACTTGATGAGGGTACCAAGGTCTCAAAACTTGATGAGGATATCAATGTCTCAAAACTTGATGAGGATATCAAGGTCTCAAAACTTGATGAGGATATCAATGTCTCAAAACTTGATGAGGATATCAAGGTCTCAAAACTTGATGAGGATACCAAGGTTTCAAAACTTGATGAGGATACCAATGTCTCAAGACTTGATGAGGATATCAAGGTCTCAAAACTTGATGAGGATACCAATGTCTCAAAACTTGATGAGGATACCAATGTCTCAAAACTTGATGAGGATACCAATGTCTCAAAACTTGATGAGGATACCAATGTCTCAAAACTTGATGAGGATACCAATGTCTCAAAACTTGATGAGGATACCAATGTCTCAAAACTTGATGAGGATACCAATGTCTCAAAACTTGATGAGGATACCAATGTCTCAAAACTTGATGAGGATACCAATGTCTCAAAACTTGATGAGGATACCAATGTCTCAAAACTTGATGAGGATACCAATGTCTCAAAACTTGATGAGGATACCAATGTCTCAAAACTTGATGAGGATACCAATGTCTCAAAACTTGATGAGGATACCAATGTCTCAAAACTTGATGAGGATACCAATGTCTCAAAACTTGATGAGGATACCAATGTCTCAAAACTTGATGAGGATACCAATGNTTTTTTTTTTTTTTTTTTTTTTTTTTTTTTTTTTTTTTTTTTTTTTTTTTTTTTTTTTTTTTTTTTTTTTTTTTTTTTTTTTTTTTTTTTTTTTTTTTTTTTTTTTTTTTTTTTTTTTTTTGGGGGGAGGGGGGGTTAGCTAATGATTTTAATATATCACATTTACAACACATTAAATTTATGAACGTGACATATGGTATATAAATTATAATTGCTATTTTTATAATGATACGTGTACTTTAAACTAACCAAAAGGAATATGAGGACACCACATTAGAAACCCATTTTTTCCAACCAAAAAATTCAACTAGGGAGCCTTTGAAAATGAGGATGGTACATTGTTATGAGGACATCAATAGCTCAATACCCAAATATGTAGTGAATCTCAATACCCAAACATGTAGTGAATCTCAATACCCAAACATGTAGTGAATCTCAATACCCAAACATGTAGTGAATCTCAATACCCAAACATGTAGTGAAAATACCCAAACATGTAGTGAAAATACCCAAACATGTAGTGAATCTCAATAGCCAAACATGTAGTGAATCTCAATACCCAAACATGTAGTGAATCTCAATACCCAAACATGTAGTGAATCTCAATACCCAAATATGTAGTGACAGGCATAATAAAATTGGATTTAGATGTCAAGATAAATTGTTGAAATGTGGTGCAATGTTTTAGAGCTGTGATTAATAGCAGTTAGTAAGCCTATAAATCATTCATTTATTTGGCAATTATAATTAAATAGCTCTCAGTACTTCAAGAAAGTGATTATTTAAATTTGAAAATACAAAAATTTTTTAGAAAATAAATTGTAACGAATTCATTAATTTTAACGATTTTTTTATATTTTTTTTATTTTAATTTAAAATTATTTCTCTTTCATGTGCAACCTGAAGCATTTGAACTGTTAACCTAATTAAATAGCATTAAAAGCTATAGCAAAAGAACAGAGAACAATTGAAATGTTTCTTGTATTAAACACTGATTAGCCAATAATGTCTATGCCACCTTCTGCTAAAGAATGAAAAGACCTGATCTCACACTGCCCCGTGCCCCAGTGGTACACGTTGACGTAGCCGCAGCGGCCGATGTGGTTGTTGTCGTGGTAAGGGAAGGGCACGGCGCCGTCACCCGTGCAGTCGTTAGACAGATTGCTGGTCCCCTCTGCTCCAGGAGCCTGGACAGCATAAAACTCAAACAACCCGTTGTCAGTTCTGGTACACATCATGTCCACATCCACAAGCCAATAGTCATCTCCATATCTGAAATCAAAATAGGAGACGTTTTCTTTTAATTTTCATTTCATTCCCTCCTTGTTTGTCGAAATTCGTTGTGGTCTCATTTGAGAAAATCAAGGTATTATCTCTTGCACTAAACTCTATTGTGTCATTGAAAAACCAGTCTACTAGTCTTCGAAACCAAACCCTATGGATTCATTGAAAGCCCAGTGTATTAGATCTCACTCTAAACTTTGTGGAATTATCGAAAACCATTGTATTAGCTCTTACACTAAACCCTGTGAGTTCATTGAAAAAAATGAATGTATGAGCTTCCACACGAAACACTGACCTATTTAAGCTGTTGTAGAATTGATTGGCAGAATTGTTGGATGTCACTTGACCAGGTGTTCCTTGTGCTATCTGCAAGACATTGAAATAAAATGTTCGAAAATTATAATTAAAAAAAAAATAACATTATTAACATTGCACTTCAAATGAACTTGGCTCTGAACTTGGTCTTGTGAGAACGAATTTTTAGTTGTGATCAGTTGCGTAGGATTGGGGGAGAGGGGGCGTGCCCCGGGTGGGACTTATACTTTAATATTTAAGGGGAAAATGCCAAGTTTTTCCGTGTCAGAGGGGAGGTTAAAATCTCGCTCCCCCCCCCCCCCCCCCCGGGCCCTCTATGCACTCATGCGAGTTATACAAGTACAAATTTGTTCATGCATTTAAATAATTTGTTTTTGGGTTTTGTTCACTGGTTTCTTTGACACTATAGCAACGCAGTAAATATATTCTCCTGTGCTCCGAGCTCGGTTGAACTTACCAGAAACGTCAACTTGTGTTTAGCTGAAACATTAGTTAGGCTTTAAAAAAAAAAAAAATTGGCTTACAACTCTGTTATACAATTGCTGAGTGAATTCTGGACCTGACCAATCGAGGTAGCTGTCGCCCTTGACCCATGCCTCACGTGCTGGGGAGACGTTGGTCATCCCCAATGTTCTGTGTTTTATGGGGATGACACATTCATTGACATCAAACTCCTTCCTGTCACAGGCTGAACAAAATGAAATGTCAATAAAAAATTAAAGCAGATTCTTAAAACAATTTTCTTTTACATTCTATCCGTAGATAATACTAGATTTATCAGTGAAACATTTTGAAAGGATTTACATTATATAAATATATATATTTATATATGCATACATATATATATATATATATATATATATATATATATATATATATATATATATAGAGAGAGAGAGAGAGAGAGAGAGAGAGATATAGAGAGAGAGATAGATAGATATATATATATATATATAGATATAGATATATGTATATATAGAAATGGATATATATATATATATATATGGAGAGAGAGAGAGAGAGAGAGAG